TAAAAAAAAGGTTATCAAACTATTTTGGAGCGTCGTGTGGAAAATAATAGAACTCTTTTAATTGATTAATTACTTTTGTTATTAAGTTAAATTTTGTTAAACATTTTTCCAAACTAAAGTAAAAAGCAATACAACGATATATACTGACTACAACGATAGATACTGCAACGAACAAATTTAATATTGCTGTAATAATTACATCGGTACTGAAAATATAAAAAACGATTATAGGTTACTTCGTTGACCTAATACATCCAATTTTTTTCTCGCGGTAACTAATGTCAGCTGGTATAGATGTAAGTATACCATTTCCAAATTTTGTCTTATTGCCGATAGCCAGAAGGTGGACTTATATCTAATGAATTGCATAAAATGGACCTATTCTACCTAATCGTATACTATTTTAATACGCAAGTAGTGTCAATAATTAAATGATAAAATATAAATTATCATTGCGCAAATCGTTTTCATTATATGTATATAATAGTAAATATTAGGTAATTTCTATGAAGAATAAAAAGGTAATAAAATCGAAGCGACACGTAAAAACGGCGAAAGGGAAATTTTACTCCGCTGATGTACAGCCGTAGCAATTTACTTTTAAGGCTGTTTTATTGCTAAGTACAATTCCGGCGCATAAAGCATGTTTCCAAATAAAATGGAGCTAGTGATAAAAGAACGAAGTACATTTTGTTTTGTTATTAATATAGATGTATAATATAACAGCGCCATCCATGTTATCCCCAAGAGGGACTAACAGGTAGGTAGCTAGCCGAACGCCTACACAATCACAAAACCAATATGCCATTTGAGGACATTTTAGGCAAGTACCGTAGTTGACACTTTCTTTATTAAAAGACCTATATAATCGCGGGGCCTAATAAGTCCCACGGTGGGGACTTGTAAGGGAATTTAATTTTAATGATTTTTGATGCAGCTATTTTGCGTAATTTAAAGGTTTCAATGAAGCTTATATTGATACTTGATGTCCACCGGACTATGACAGTGGGGAAAAAAAGATTGTACCCATGCTTGTGCTCGTAAAGACTAGCCGCCGTAGAGGACTTCATTTACGTGTTATAGACTTTATGTGTTCCTTTTCATTTACTTGAAATGAAATATAATTTTATACCTTTGATGTAATATGTTGTTGAGGTTTACCACGTGGCGGTGGTGTAGGAGAATATGTCACTCCATTTTATTCGATCAGATTTATACGCTTACCGAGCGAGACGATTTAAGCCAAATTCTGCTGACTATGAGCCATGGTTATACCCAACCTATAACATAAGGAGTCTATGTTTGACAGTGGAGTTTTTCGGGTTAATAAAAAGGATACTGTTAAAGTGTAGTGTGGGAATGAGTAATATGCCCCCTTATCTGCACGTATTGCACTATACTAATAGTCGCAAGTTGCTCTGGCAACTTGACAACTAATTCTGGAATATAGGCAGTTAAACAAACGCTAAACTCATATTAAAAAGAAACTATTAATTTAGAGTAGCATAATTAGGACGGCGATACCTTGACTCAACGGAACACTTTACTCAGCTTGGTGACGGTACGGGTTATTCTTATAATTATTGCTCAGCTCATCAGCAGCCGACTCATTCTTTAAAATGCCCGGGTCAGTGGAATTAAAAAAAAACCTGTTAATAATTATATCAAATACGTTTTAAAACATTTTTAAGATATTAAAATATTTTTGTATTACATACATAAATAGTTAATAAACTAGCCTAGCCTTTTACTGCTTATTTTACTAGATGGTGGGTCATCTTTTTTGCTTGAGCGTCCGTCTGTAGATTCCAATCTATAAGAGGTATATCTCTCATCTTCTTCTTACCTACCTTATCTTATCTATCCGATTTATAGTATGATCTGAACAGAACCATTATATTGAATAAAACTATTATTTACGGATTTTATCGCGTTTATTCCGATTTACGGACCAAAAATTAATATTAATATAATAATAATAATTATAATTTTTTAATATTAATTTAAAAATTAATATTAAAAAAAAACTGATGGTAGCCGGACTAACTATGACATTGGGACGTCAAACATCTCAGTCCCCCCCGTGACCATGGGTGCTGTAAAGCACCCGAAACGTCGGGATAATAATAAAAAATAAATTAAAGTAATTAAACGCGATAAAATCCGTAAATAATAGTTTTATTCAATGTGTAGTGTTCGCGTAAATTTAAGAAATCATTATGAGAACCATTATAATTACAGGCTGAGAGGTATCCTATTTTAATACTTAGGGGACAACGCATCTGTATCGGACTGATCTTTAACGGAATTTTTAGCTTCTCGCTAAGAAAATTAAAAATTTTCAAAAATCGGGAAGTTATTGCTTTTACACCGTTTTTCGAAAATTGAGTTTTCATCAAATCTTGACGTGTTGAAATCTCAGTAAGCCAACCTGACCCTGATTTTCAATGGTGTCTGTATGTCTGTATGTATGTGTATCTGTGTATCTCTCTCTCTCTCTTCTCTATGTGTGCGTGGATGTATGTAAATCTCTTATAACTTTTGAATGGCTTAACCGATTGAAATGAACTAAGCGGATTTCGGAATTTTAACTAATTTGGACAGGTATTTTTTGAGAAATCTCAAAAGTAAAAATTTTGAAAAACTAGTTTTTTTGGAATAATTTTTAAACGGCTTTACCGATCGATTCCAAAATCTGACCAGCTTTTAACCTAAAAATCCACGTCGATCGCTGCCGGTCAGGTCAAAATCAGTTGATTCGTTCGTGAGATATCGTTAAAAAAATTAATTACACCGATATTTCATATTCAACGTCATAATTCGGTGAAATTTGGAGTGCTTTGGATTTGAAATTAACGGGAAATTCATTGCTGGGTCAATCCATTTTTATTGGAGTGTTTTGAGTCCGTCATTGAGCCAGTTTTAATATATATCCTATCTACACTATTAAAACACACAACGGTAAGTAACTCAGTCACCTAATTACGAACACTGATCGTTACCGTTACAGCTTATTAAGTCCACTGCTGAACATTGGCCTCTACCATAGATTACTTCATAGAGGGATACAGTTACTACGCTTGGGTTTTTTTATTTTCAGTCGTTATTAGGACGAGAACGCAGTATATGTATATCGTTAAAACCAAATTAGCGAAATTTTATTTTTGCGCAACGTCGACCGCAGTACTCACATCCCCATATTTATAACAGAATTGTTTAAAGTCCGTGACATCAACATTGCTCCACATCGAAAATTAAACACATGGTGAAACCACTCACCAAATAAAATTTTAATGACACTGAAACCTTCATGTTAATTCATAAATAACATCAAATCACATACAATATCTGTGTTCTTACACAAAAAACGTAAATAAATAATAATGTAAAGTACAAAAAGCTAAAAGCTATGTATATAGTTATAAGAATAATTCATCGTTTTAGAAAATAGCAGCTATGCAGGTCTAGGGCAAAGAGACCAGTATCACTGCGACCTAAAATATCTATTGTGATCGCTGCTATGGCTATAGTTCACTGCTAAGGCCTATGTATTCAATGAATAGAAGGAGTTGCTAGGCCGTTAGCAGAGAGAGAAAGAAAATAGGGTTACTTTTAACTATGTTTTCAAAACCGATAACCGTACTTCTGGTCCTTAAGATAAAGTTTACGCATTGTTTATGATCAGCCAGTAAATATTTATAAGTAATTAAAATTTAAAATTACTTTAGTTACTGTTCCCTGTTTTCAGTTCCTTAGCTCAATTACAGCAATAAATTATTTTTAATTATTTATTTATGAGGTTACCCAGGCGTACTCTAGTCAGAAAAGGAGACCACCTTGTATTTTTTGTGAAAATTTGTGGACTTACGATGAAAAGTACAGTAAAGTTTCTTATATAATTGTTACATAGGATGTGACCGAGGGCTAAAACATAATAATATAAAAATTTACATTATTTTTCATCACACGTTAGACACAGACAGATGTTGTGATGATCGCTAGATGATGCTCATTGATATATTCATCCATGCATCCATCCACATAACCCAACGTAGGCCTCCCTTATGGGTTGCTTCATAAGGGGAATAATTGCCATGTTTGCCATAGCTGCCACGCTTGCTTGTTCAATTATAACAGTTAAATATTAAGCCTTTCTTCTATTGTATTTTCCTTCTATCATCTCTTACGGCATCCACGGGTGATATGGAAAAGTGAATTCTTTGCGATGCCGACTGTACATGGTGTTTTGTCTGTTATCTGTTTTACAAAATTCACATAAATTATTATTACTATTTATATTATATTATAGCTGTCAATTTCTATTATATTTTACGCTGGTATTCTGTTATGTTTATCCATAAAGATTATAATAATTGTTACGCGCCGAAGTCGACGGCACTAGCGCCATCTAGTCTCGAACCGAAGAACTAAACTTCTTGATTTGGAATGCCGAACTCTCGGTACCTTGCGCGTGTTTACTTGAATATTCTGGATATTTCCGTGCTAATTTATATAAATAGGCGCTGCAAGATGCGATCGAGGCAGTATTGGATTTGGCGAGACAAGCGAAGCTTCGGAGCGGAATAAAGTGAATTAGTGTGTTTAATTATTAGTGTTTTAAGTTTTAATTTGTGTAAAGTAAATTAAAGTGTTAATTTAGGTAATTTTATCGGCAATTTTTATTGTCACGAACCTCAAGCTCGTAACATTATTATTACCTTAGTCCACTTTTAGTCAAAGACACAAAGCAAACCTCAAGATTAAAAAATCAGTTATATAAACGCTATAAATATTTAAACATTGAAACTGTTTGAAGCTCTGCCGGAAACTGTTCAAAAAACTTAAGATTCTTTGACTATTTCTTAATACTAAAGATATTGGCTTCCTATTGCCACTAAGTGATTTGAATTCTTTTTTGTCACCCATTAGTAAAATGTCTTTTTAGTAAAAAAAAGTTCCAGCGGAATAAGATAAGATTGATTACAAAAACATTTTTTCAGAGCTTTACGACGCATTGCGGACGGCTAGAACACAGGAAATCAGAATACCTTTTGGTGTGGGTGTAGCAGGATTGGCGGCCCAGACAAAACATCCGATTAATATAAAAAATGCTTACGCCGATCCAAGGTAAGAACTACACTGCTTTTATTGCAATTTTCTTCATTGTCACGTAACAATATAGTCAGAACTGTAGCAATAATATGTAGGCGATACTTTTTCCATGCAGGATTCCAACACTTGGTAGCTGCTTTTTTATGGAAAAGGCAGAATACGAGCATGCAGCTCATCTGATGATAAGTGATCACCGTCGCTCATGAACATCCGCAACACCAGGGGAATTACAGGTGTAATGTCGGCCTTTATGAAAGGAGTAGGCCAGTCGGCAGCGGTTTTTTCCGACCAATACCAATAGGTATTGGTTCGAAAAAACCGCTAAATGTAAAAACCGCTGGCGACAGTAAATTTCATAATTTTGTCGAGCAGCACAGAAAATTCCGCGTAAATTGCACAGTAGTGGACCACAATCCACCGAGATGATAATGGAATTTCGAGTTCTGTCGCAGTATACAATAGTGGAATTCCGATCATCACGATTCTGAATATATTATAATTTAATATATTAGATAACTAGTCTTTATCAAAATATTATACAAAATAAAGGCCAAATAAGTCGAATCGAAAAATTTGCTACTGCACTAGTAGGCACTGCAACTGAAAATACTGAAATGTAGTGACGTACGCCACAACATTAGTTATCGATAAGTTAATTAACCCATTCGGGTTTGTCTGCCGAACAGAATAATGGAATTTCGAGTTCTGTCGCAGTGTACAATAGTGGAATTCAACAGCTCCGAAATTAATCCGAAAAATTCCTCTGAAAACTTCCCGTGATAAATATAGTAGAAGATGCAACGTCTCTTCGCAAGGCCAGAGGATCAACTCGATCGGAAAGAACTTAATCATCGACGGTTCGAGCTGCTCTCCGTTGAATACGATACTGAGGTGCCCCACCCCAGAGATGATAATTGATATGTAGAAGGACCAGGGTAGGCGATAACACGCAGATTTTTGGAACACCTGCATTCATAGGCTTAGAGTCGGAGCACGCAACGTCGACTAGGACCTTAATAATGATATCTTATGTTTACGTGAATACTACATATTTAAATAAAACTAAATTTTTGGTCGAATCAACGCAGTATGAATTTATAGTATCTTGAAGTTTTGCAGTATTATGCTTGGGTTGTTGTGATTTAATTTTATTAATTATTGGATTCCAAGAAGATGGTAGCACCCAGCCATCTTCTCTATTGAAATTAGGATGTTTTTGATTTCTATAGCCTCGCGAATAATTCTTGGAAGAAATCGGTGTTATTTAACGAGAATTTGTGGTCTATAAAGTGATGATACTGTGACAGGGCGATCCTGTACGTGTTCACAAACTGCTGACTTCCCGAAGCGCCGTTTCTTCACGTCAGCTATGAGTTTTTAACACAGGTTTTTATTGGTCTTTTAGTTTTCCTATGTAAGGGAGACCACATTCAAAAATAAGCCTGTAAATTTCTGCATATTACATGATACTACACTTGACTGGTGGTAAGAACTGACTAATCTTTTCCGGCTGCTTAATGTTGAAATCGAAGTACGCTTCAAAATGTAGCCAATCTTGTCAGTAACATATCCCTGGTGTACTTACATATGTCAGTACAGCAGGTACACGCTTGAATGTGGCCACTCTCGATCAATTTGGCATAGGCGCGGGACCCGAAGCTTGTCGTCGTACAAAACTTGCTTGACGTGTTGCAGCTCGGCAGCCAGGTGTTTAACTGCGCTAGCTAATTGTGAAGGGTGGTGGTGATAATCATCGTTTAAATACCCATCTGTATGGGTCAGGATTCCAAATTACTTAGCACGTTGAATAAAACTATATTTACGGATTTTATCGGGGGACTCCCCGTGACCATGGGTGCTGTAAAGCACCCGAAACGTCGGGAATTAAAAATCAGTAAAAGTAGTAAATTAAACGCGATAAAATCCGTAAGAATAGTTTTATTCAATATGTAGTGTTCGCGTAAATTTAAGAAATCATTACTTAGCACGTTTAATAATATAAAACCTCTATTTAGATAAAAATATTAATAAGAATTTACAAGACACCTTGTTGGTTTTATTTCCTGACAAGGGTTTGGATATCTCATACTTCGTAAATTAATTACACTATCAAATTTAGGAAACAAAAATATCATCAATTTATTTCTCAAAATCAATACATTTTTGAGATGGTTCAAGTAAGTAACATTTGTTGGTAACTGATTTTTATATATTCCATCAAGTAAATTATATCTTGGAATATATAAAAGTAAAACGATTGAATTACTTGTAATTTTTAATTTCTTTGTGTTTTCTGTATTGTATTTTATTCTAGCAGTACATATTACATACTGATTGATAAATTGACTTTATATAGCAGCCAAGAATATTGTGGTAACAAGCTTAATAATCCATTACTAGATCAGCTTTAAAATAAATCGGCGATGAGGAGGATCATCTGACTTAAAATGCTTACTTCTTACTCCGGATCTTCCTTAAGATGGAAGATGTCCATGACCAATTGAGAACGCTTACGTGTGGATAAAGATGAAAATCATAATCATTATCATATTTCATCATTACAGCTCTTTACAAGTCCACTGCTGAACATAAGCCTCACTCAAGGAGTGCCACAAAGCACGGTCTTGAGCTATCTACATCCATTGTCGTTACTCTGTCTAGTGGGGGGGTCACCGTACATTTCGTCTGCCTGTTCAAAGCTACCACTGAAGGACTTCAAGTACCGGTTTTCCACCCGATTTTCGAAGCTCTGCTCGATTCCATCCTCGTCTGGGGATTTGCCTTTTTAAGGTGCTGGAGAACCATTCTAATCTCGCTTAGATTGGCGTCCGGGATATTATCGGAATGATGTCGGATTAAACTTGCTCTTGGATTGTTACTAACACTTGCGTGTGGCTCCAACGATGACGTGTACATCTGCTCATATAACCTCTCAATCTCACTCAAAATCTCAGGTGTTCCGGAAAGATTCGTGGTAGAGCCATGCTGCAGTTATATTAGTAGTATAGTTGTAGCACGAATGGGTCGGCTCGACTGGGGAAGGACCACGCTCTCACAGAATACCAGCGTAACATAGTAGTTTAATGCTGCTGTGTTTCGTATGGTGAGTGTACAGAACCGGATACGCTTTTTACTACTTTTGAAACGAGGCACATCATCTTAGTCCTCACGGGTGACAACGCATCTGCATTTTCATTCGTAATCGAGGATAGATGTAGATGTCTATGGGCCAGAGCAACCACTTACCAACAGGTGGACTGTGTGCTCGTTTGTCACCCTACTCTATAATAAAATAGAAGAAAGGATGCTACCACATTTGATATTTAGATTCGATAGTTGGCTCTTTCTGGTAGAAGGATCTCTGGTAAAGACTTTGCAGTACTAGTTCTGCTCGATCGCTTCTTCAATACAAGTATTTGGAGATTTGTCTGTTCAGTTAACTGTGTGCTGTCAAATCTGCTCAAGACTGTAGCCTCATTTCTCATCTAACAAATCTTTTTGTGTTCTTCTGCGACGGGTCTTGCACAACTTAGTCTCGACCGTATGGACAGTTTTTACAAGCTTGTCATTCATACTGTCCACTGCATTGCAGTCTTCTATGTAATGAAAAGGCCAAATTTAATGCTAAATCGTATTTTATCTTTATCATAATCGGATTTTTTTTCAATTGCAGATTTAACAGCGACATCGACGCTCGAACTGGGTATAAGACTGAGCTTATACTATGTATGCCGATTTGCAACTACGAAGGTGATGTCGTCGGAGTTGCCCAGATCATAAACAAAACGGACGGTATGACAAAAATTTTATTTGAAAACAGTATGTCAGTAAAAAAGAATTGAAATAATATTATTCTATGTATAACAGTGGAATAGAATCCTTGAGAACTATAAAAATTATTCATTAATCGAAGTCACAGACATCGTTTAAGAAAGATAAATTAATACTAATAATAAATGTTTATTTCTGTTCAAAACGATGCTTACTATTTTTCGTTTAAATTTTTTAAATATAAACATGATAATATTTTCTCCTATAGAAAAGTCTTTGAAAGATGGTGAAAATACTTTAAAATTTCCCCGTGATGCCCCGTGTAGTGGCGGTCAAGAATATCCACTACCCCATATCTTCCCGTGGGTGTCGTAAGAGGCGACAGAGGGAGACAGGCAGGAGATGGGCAGCAGCATCTTCCTGATAACAGCAACTGTACGACAAAAAAAACTGCGGTTGCCAACCCGCTCGCCAAGCGTGGCAACTATGGCAATATACCCCCCATGAACAATTACACAAATAGACGGCCCCCAGTCCCCGGCGGCCCCGCTATTCCTGGCTACGGTGGCGACCATGGTAACGGCGGGGCGGGGGGTGCTAAGAATCTCCGGTGGAGGTTCGGTTGCCACCTACGACGACTCGACCTGGCAACATTTAACGCACGCACACTGAGGACTGACGAGAAGATCCTGGAGCTGGAAGAAGAGATAGACAAGTTGCGCTGGAGTATTATAGGATTATCCGAGGTCCGAAGAGAGGGGGAGGACACGGTGATTCTCGAATCCGGCAACTTGTTCTATCACCGGGAGGGCGACCATCTGTCCCAAGGAGGTGTCGGATTTATCGTCCACAAGTCTCTCGTCAACAACGTTGTGCAGATTGAGAGTGTGTCGACGAGGGTCGCGTACCTGATACTCAGAATCACCAAACGGTATTCGCTGAAGGTCATACAGGTTTACGCACCAACGTCGGCACATTCCGATGAGGAGGTGGAGGAAATGTATGAGGATATTTCCAAAGCCATACATTCCTCCAAAACCCACTACACGGTGTTGATGGGAGACTTCAACGCAAAACTAGGCACAAGAGAAAACGGTGAGCTGAAGTTAGGGAAATTTGGAGTAGGGCAACGGAACCGAAGGGGCCAGCAGCTGGCCGACTTTATGGAGAAAGAGGGACTCTTTATGATGAACTCTTTCTTCCAGAAGCGGCCCCACAGGAAGTGGACCTGGTCGAGCCCCGACGGTTCGACAAAAAATGAGATTGACTTTATTATGACGACCAGACGCCAACTGTTCAGTGATGTCTCAGTGATCGCAAGGGTGAAAACTGGCAGCGATCACCGAATGGTTAGAGGCACACTGAACCTAAACGTTAAGTTGGAGAGGTCTCGTCTAATGAAGTCAACGCTCCGTCCCCCCTCGTGCTCTGATCCAAAATCCCGAAAACTTTCAGCTCGAGCTACACAACCGCTTTCAGTGCCTACAAGATTGCAATGCAGTGGACGATATGAATGACGAGCTCGTGGAAACTGTCCATGCGGTCGGAGCTAAGTTCTGCAAGACCCGCCGCAGAAGAACACAAAAACTCTCCGATCACACTCTTAATCTCATGGCTGTTAGACGGGAGATGAGGCTGCAATCGTCAACAGATTTGACAGCATACAGGCAACTGAACAGACAGATCTCCAAATGCATGCGGCGAGACTTACGCAACTTTAATACTGCTCGTATTAAAGAAGCGATCGAGCGGAACCAGGGCTCCAAAGTCTTTGCCAGAGATCTGTCTGCCAGAAAGAGCCAACTGTCAAGGCTGAAGACTGAGTGTGGCAGCATCGTTTCCGGGACACCTGAGATTTTGAGTGAGATTGAGAGGTTCTATGGGCAGCTGTACACATCATCGTTGGAGCCACACGCAAGTGTGAGTAACGATCCAAGAGCAAGTCTTATCCGACACTATTCCGATGATATCCCGGACGTCAGTCTAAGCGAGATTAGAATGGCTCTCCAGCACCTTAAAAACGGCAGGGCCCCAGGCGAGGATGGAATTACAGCGGAGCTTCTGAAAGCGGGTGGAACACCGGTACTTGAAGTCCTTCAGAAGCTCTTCAATTCCGTCCTCCATGGTGGCACTACTCCAGAGGCGTGGAGCAGAAGTGCGGTGATCTTGTTCTTTAAGAAAGGCGACAACGCTCTCTTGAAGAACTACAGACCGATTTCCCTTCTGAGCCGCGTCTACGTGCTGTTTTCGAGAGTCATTACGAATCGTCTCGCACGCAGACTCGACGACTTCCAGCCTCCCGAACAAGCCGGTTTCCGAAAAGGCTTCAGTACCATAGACCACATACATACCCTGCGGCAGATTGTACAGAAGACTGAAGAGTACAATTTGCCACTTTGCCTGGCGTATGTGGACTATGAGAAAGCCTTTGATTCCGTCGAAATTTGGGCGGTGCTGCAGTCCCTTCAGCGGTGCCAAGTTGACTGTCGGTATATCGAAGTGCTGAAGTGTTTGTACAGTAGGGCTACGATGGCTATCCGAGTACAGAACCAGAGCTCGAAACCTATCCAACTGCAGAGAGGTGTAAGACAGGGTGACGTTATATCCCCGAAACTCTTCACCGCTGCTTTGGAAGACGTTTTCAAGCTACTGGACTGGAAAGGATACGGTATTAACATCAATGGCGAGTACATCACTCACCTTCGATTTGCCGACGATATAGTCCTTATGGCAGAATCGCTGGAGGACTTAAGCACTATGCTCAATGACCTCAATAGTGCCTCCCAACGGATAGGTCTTAAGATGAACATGGACAAAACAAAGATTATGTTTAATGTCCATGTCACACCTATGCCGGTAGTTGTTGGGAGCACTATGCTCGAAGTTGTTGACGAGTACGTTTACCTGGGACAAATATTCCGACTAGGTAAGTCCAACTTCGACCGAGAGGTCAATCGACGGATTCAACTCGGCTGGGCAGCGTTCGGAAAATTACGACATATCTTCTCGTCAGGTATACCTCAATCTCTGAAAACTAAAGTGTACAACCAGTGCGTGTTGCCAGTGATGACTTACGGATCAGAGACGTGGTCCTTCACTGCTGGCCGTATGAGGACGCTCAAGGTCGCTCAGCGAGCTATGGAGAGGGCTATGCTCGGAGTTTCTCTGCGTGATAGACTCAGAAATGAGGATATCCGCAGTAAAACCAGATTGACCGACATAGCTCAACGGATTAGTAAGCTGAAGTGGCAATGGGCCGGCCATATAGCTCGAAGAACCGATAACCGATGGGGAAGAAAGGTTCTCGAGTGGCAGCCTCGTACCGGTAGGCGTAGTGTAGGGCGACCCCCCACTAGATGGAGTGACGACCTGGTAAGATATGCAGGAAGTCGATGGATGCAGGTGGCTCAGGACCGTGCTTTGTGGCATTACTTGGGGGAGGCCTATGTTCAGCAGTGGACTTGTGAAGGGCTGTGATGATGATGATGATGACTTTAAAATTTCACTTGCATCTACTATACTAATCACTTATTTGCGGAATCGACTACCACTAGCGATTTTTCGGACCGATGCGACTTAGGGACCTTCATGAAATGATCCAACTCTTTTTCAAAAGGCCGGCAACGCGTCTGCAATTCCCCTGGTGTTGCAGTTGTTCATGGGCGGCGGTAGTCACTTAACATCAGGTGGACTACACGCTCGTCAGCCCCCTCTCATGTACAAAATACGAGTAATATAGATTTTAAATATTATACCCACCCAAGTTGATTTTTTCTTATAAATATTTTCATTTGATGAGATTTTTCTTTATATCCTATTCTTTTATCGTGAAACGCGGATTAAATCCTCACTTGAATCCAGAAATACCCAATTTAAAAGTACGTGATCTGAATTTAAAACAACGATCTTCAAGATCACGTCACAAAAAAGATTTAAGTCGGTATTGAATTTTAATTTTAAATAATAAATTAAGAATTAGGATTTATAATTTAAGTTATTATACTAATAAGAAGTATACGACTTATAAATAACCCCTGGAAATGAGGTGATCGCTAAAATTATATTTCTTTTCGTGTTTTGATTTTTACGTATTTTAAATGTGCAATATAATACGATATTACAAATTAACACTTAAACTAAATTCTGTTTGGTTTCTTGCTGATTCCTTTCAAGACATTGGTTTCTTAGAGGCAAACACGTGGTACAATAACAAATATCTTTCAATAAGTATTTCTGGTAATGGTAACTATAATAACGCTGTAACACAATGATTTCTGTACATTGTATTTTTTTACAATGTACAGAACAGGCCGTGGTAGCGGCGTAAAATATACTACCCCATATTTCGCAGCATGACTAACCAAATAAAGGAAATGGCCCCGAGTTCCTGGCGCCCCTTTAATGGGGCAGGGGTGCGAAGAATCTCCGGGAGGAAAACCAGCGACGAGTTTCGGCACCCGTCACGTTCTGTCTCCCGGAGAGGCGGAAAGTGGGTTGCAGAGGCCCGTCTGGCTACGTTGAATGTATGTGGGGCAATGAATGATAAAATGGATGAAGTGTGCGGTATGATGTATGATAGAGGAATAGACGTGTTATGCGTAAATGAGACGAAAAGGAAGGGGAAGGATGTCACTACACATGGCATGTATACCGCATACTGGTCCGGTGTAGACGAGATCGAGCGGGCATGCCAGGGAGTAGGTATCATCCTTTCAGAAAGAATGGGCCAATGTGTGAAAGAGTATGAATGTGTAAGCCCAAGACTGCTATGGATACGAATGAAAGTGGGCTTAAAGAAGTTGTTCGTGTTAGGGGTCTACGCCCCAGACATGTCTAAGCCCACTTATATCCGAGAGCAGTTTTGGGAAATGGTAAGGATGGTGTTAATGAAGTGTAAGGGAAATGAAAATATTATTATGCTAGGAGATTTTAATGGAAGGGTTGGGGTGAGGAGGCTTGGTTATGAAAGGATATTGGGAACGTTTGGTGATGAAAGTATAAATGAGAATGGTGAAAGTCTCCTCACCGTATGTATGGAAAAGAATCTTTTTGTGACGAACACTTGCTTTCGCCACAAGAGGATTCATATGTATACTTGGGAAAGAGGTGATGATAGTAGCATGATAGATTTCATAATTGTGGATGAAAGATTGAGGGGCGTAGTGGTGGATACAAGGGTTTACCGGGGTTCTAACGTAGGAACGGATCATTATTTGGTTTTATGCCGAATTAATGGTCTATTCAGGCGTTGGCGTCATCGGTCATCTGTGTCTACCACTGCGTTACAGCGTATTAGAACAGAAAGGTTGCAAGATGAAGGTGAGAGAAACAAGTTCAAATGTAGACTGAAAGAAAATGTAAGTGGTTTGGATGAATTATGTATGAAGGAATTAGAATTGGAGAATGTATGGCAAAATGTAAAGAAAGGTTTAGTGCATGCAGCTACCGAAGTATGTGGTGTTATTAAGAGAAAAAAAGAAAGGAAAAATAATACGTTATGGTGGGATAATGAGATACGTATGGAAGTTGAAGCAAAGAAGAGAGCATGGCTAGATTTACTAGCAACAAAGGCTGGTAATTCTAGCGGTACGAATGATGATATTGAAAGAAAAAAGGCGGTCTTTAGACATCTTAATAAGAGAGTAAAAGAAGTAGTTGAAAGAAAAAAGCAAGAAAGAACGGATAAGAATGATAGAAGAATATCGGATAACTTCCAGGCAAATATTAAAATGTTCTGGAAACTGGTAAGAACTGCCAGGGGACATTCAAAACAGCCTATGCTGAATGCTATAAGAGACGAGAATGGCTATATTCTGAATGATGAAGTATTGAGTTTAAAGAGATGGAAGGAATATTTTGAAAGCATGTTTATGAGTGAGGAGACAACATGTGTACTAAGTGAAGTAGAAACTCCGAAAGAAGAGGAAAGAGGTAGCGAGATAAGTATAGATGAACTAATGAAAGCAATGAAAAGCATAAAAGCGGGTAAGGCTGCCGGATATGATAGAGTTTCACTCGAAATGCTAAGGGCTGGAGAGGAGGTGGTGGCAGGCCTGCTGCACACCTTTGTTTAATTTATGCTGGGAACTGAAGGGGTACCGGTAGACGGTGCAAAGCCGTGATAGTCCCAGTATATAAAGGAAAAGGGTCGCAGCAGGAATGTGAAAACTACCGTGGCATCAGCCTTCCTAGCATTGTGGGAAAACTGTACGCTAAGGTACTGATTGAAAGGGTCATGAAAGAAACTGATGGAAAAATTTGGGATGTGCAAGCGGGATTTAGAAAGGGAATGGGATGTACAGATCAAGTCTTTTCCATGCGCATGATCGCGGCGAAGTTTCTGGCCAAAAACCGTTTTTTGTGCGTTCATGGACTTGGAAAAGGCCTATGACAGAGTGGATAGGGATGTGATATGGCAAACACTGAACTCATTTGGGTTGAGCGCTGGCTTGATATAGGCATTGGAGTCTCTTTATAGGGACTCTAGTGCTTGTGTTAGGATCAACGGGGTCTACTCGGACTGGTTTGACATCCATAAAGGTGTCAGACAGGGCTGTGTGGCTTCCCCGTGGCTGTTCAACCTATTTATGGACAGTTGTTTGCAAAATTTGAAATTTGAAGAATGCGGATTAAGAATGGGTGAGTTAACCATCAAATGCCTTTTGTACGCCGATGATCAAGTCATCCTTGCGTCGTCGGCGGCCGAGTTGTAAATGATGGTTACATTAATGAACTGGGATCATTAAAAGAAAGGGGTATGAAAGTGAACGCAAGTAAGACGAAGGTTATGGTTTTTGAAAGAGAAGAAAGTAAAACGATTTGTGAAATAAGAATAGAAGGGGAGTTGATCGAGCAAGTAGATGAGTTTGTATATTTGGGCTGCGTATTTAGCAGGGATGGGAGATATGATAAGGATATAGAACGACGAGTGAGTGCGGGAAATAGAGTAAATGGGGCCTTGCACTCTATTGTGAAGAGTCAAAATGTGTCGAAAAAGGCACGTATGGCAATTCACAATGCTGTGTTGGTCCCTACTTTAACGTATGGTAGTGAAATTTGGGTGTGGCAGAAGAAGCACGAGAGTAGAATAAACGCAGTAGAAATGCGGTCGTTAAGGAGTATGTTAGGGCTGAATCTGAATGACAGGGTAAGAAATTGTGTAATAAGAGAAGAGTGTGGTTTGCAAGATGATGTTGTGACCAGGATTAAGAAAGGAATGCTTCGGTGGTTTGGTCATGTGGAAAGAATGAATGAGGAAAGAGTGACAAAGAAAATTTATGTTGCAGAAGTGAATGGCAGAGTCGGAAAGGGACGTCCTAGGCGAAAATTTATCGACCAAATTGGCGATTTATTGAAAACGGGCTTGGTCCCGGGGGTGTTGGGGGGTTTTTGGGGTGTGGTCGTGTCTCGCGGGGGGGTGAGTGTTTATGGATTATGTATTTTTTTAATTTGAATTGGGGTAAAGTATGTTATCGATATGAATGCTAAAACATTTTTATCGAAACGTCTGTCCGTCAGTCAGCACACGCACAAACCTGTAAACGGATTTGGATAAAAGATTCATTAAAATGTTAAGTAAGGGTTGAGCTGTTAGAATAAATATTTATCACCTCGCTATCTATCATAAGAGCAGGAGTTAGGTGTAATATTTCTCTTTACAGTTACACTGTACGCCACAGTTATCAAATTTACATTGCAGTGAGATTAAAAAATTGCATTATATGATTTTGAGTAATATTTATATATTATTTCTATTCGATATTATCAAAATATAGTAGTTTTTATTTAGTTTGATAATCAACTTATTATTTTGTTTTGCCTAAATGGCGCTATAAGTATTTTAAAGCAAGGTATGATTTTATTATACGCGAGTTATATAGATGGTGCTTTAAACGTAATGCTTTTATTAGATAAGCAAGTGTAATTTTCTTACTTTTATACGTCAAAGGCGATGCAAAAAGCGGGTTGCTTCTTGCACCCAGCGTTGCTCTTTTGAGGCAAATTCTCCTTTTTGAAGGGAATTTCGATTATATACGGGACAAAACGGAGGAATGAGACAAAAATGGGATTTTTATTTATTATGTGCGAGCACCTATGCAGGTGTAGGGAAAGAGACTTATTCTGAGCGGAATACATAATTTCCCAGACGAGTGTTACGTTTGCGCATTAAGGGTCCGCAATCATTTAGGATGTGCAGAGGCGTTTCTTCCGTCAGGGAACAGAACCGGCACATTTTTGAGTTGCTTAGTCCCAGGATGGACAAATGATTTTTAAAATAACAGTGTCCAGTTAGGGTTCTTGCAAGAATGCTCAATTAATTTTTGCTTAATCGAAATTATCGTGAAAGAGTTAGTTTTTGATCGATTGTTACGCTCAAGTACTTAAGTTCAGTGGAGAATGGTACTACTTTATTATTTAGTTTTGGTGCGACTAATTTGTCCAACTCTTTTTGGTGACTGATAAATTGTTATCTCTACACCAATTATTTATTGTGTTTAGGGCTCTTTGTATGATTAATGATAAAGTACCTACTTTGGGAAATCCCTTTGCAATGATCATAAGGTCATCATCTTAACCAAGTGTGTCAATGCGAAGGTCTGCCACCTTGTACAATAGTTGGTCAACCGCAAGAGTCCAAAGAAGCGGTGACAAAACACCTCCTTGTGGACGTCCTCTTGTAGTTGCAACCTGAATCGAAGTTTGAAAAAGTGCTATTTTAGCCTTTTTGTTTAAGAGCATCGATTTATTCCATCTAATGGTTGTGGGGTCAACATTTTTGGATGTCAGGCCCCCAAACAGCAGTGATGCGGGGCTACTGTCGAAGGCACACCTCAATATCTAGAAAGGCACAAAAAGCTATTTCTTTATCCTCCAGTGCTTTTCAACCCTTTCAATAATACTGATCAGGGATTTTTTCTTTTTTATTTGCCTCTGCGGTAAGCATGCTGTTTGTAATGTGTTCGCCTTTTAGCTAGAGCTACATTCCTCATATATGTCTATCCATCTATAAACTTTTCCAGTGTCTTAAAAAAAGCAAGATAGGCTTATAGGTCTAAAGGACTTTCGTAAAGCGTTGTCCTTTCTACCAGCCTTAGGTATAAATAGAACTTTGACAATTGTCCATCTTTCTGAAATATATTCCCATGCAAAACTTGCACTGAAGATTTTCACCAGATGGGAAAGAAGGATATCAATACCCTTCTGTAGTTGGATGGGATTACGTCCCCTCCGCTTGTCTTATATGGTTTAAAAGAGTCAACAGTCCACTGCACCAGGTTTGGCTTTATTATCTATGCAGCCTTACACCAGATCTCATTACAAGGCATAGGGCGTAGGGCTCTAAAGGGGTTCACGGTAAATGGCTTATATAACCCTGGTAAGTAGGTTTTCGCTAGTAACTCCAATGTTTCTGTTTCACAAGTAATGAATTTACCATCAGGCTTTTTAAGAAGCCAGATCTGATTAGGTTTAGTTTTCGATAGCATTTTGTGTAGTCTTGCAGTGCGAGGCAAAGACTCAACTTCCTTGCATAGCTTTCTTCACGATGCTCTCTTTATTTCTTTATCATATTCAGTTAGGGCTGCATTATTAATGTTCCACTCATTGTTTATTTAAACCTTGAATAGTTTCCTAGTCTTTTCCCTAAACTCCTTTAAGCTCAGTGTTGCACTAAGAAACTTTTCGAGTTGAGGTCTTGGTTTTGACGTGACATCTGGCCTCTAAGGCTTCACGAGTACCTACGGTTACTGTCTCCGTGGCTTACTCCAGACCTTTAATTTTCGGAAACGTTTCTTAGGAAATGTTTCATTTGTAAAAAAGAAGGTTGAAGGTTTTATTTATAAAAGTGATATTTACTATATTAAAATAAACGTCACAAAATGTATTTTTTTTATTGCAGGCTCTAAAGAATTTTCTGCACGAGATGTTGAAGTATTTCGACGATACCTTACGTTCTGTGGTATCGGGATCCAAAACGCTCAGCTGTTCGAGTCATCAGTACTTGAGTATAAAAGAAATCAGATTCTTCTAGCATTGGCTAGAAGTATTTTCGAGGAACAAAGTAACTTGGAATGCTTGGTGACTAAAATTATGACAGAGGCACGAGAATTGCTGAAATGTGAAAGATGCGCAGTTTTCTTGTTAGACACAGATCATTGTGAATCGGTAAGTTTTACTTTAGTATTGATTAAAACTACTTTTACGGATTTTATCGCGTTTTATTTTATTTATTTTATATAAAGAACACATAGATGATGTGAAGCATCAACGTTCCGGGAAGTCTGCAGTTTGTGATCATATCCTAGACGGCCCCAACCATTACATCAGATTTGATAAACCATAAATCCTCGCGAAAGAACACCGATTCCTGCCAACGAGGGAAGCTATTGAATTTAAAAAACATCCTAATTTCAATAGAGAAGGAGGCTAGGTACTACCACCAGCTTGGGATCCTATAATCAATAAAATTAAAACTAAACCCAAGCATACCACTGCAAGACTTCAAGACACAGTCAGTTCATTTTGCATAGATCGGACCATAAACAATAATTAAAAAATCTGGACGTACTCCGGGTTTAACAATGACATCGGGACGTCAGTCATTTCAGTCCCCCGTGAATATGGGTACTGGAAAGCACCCGAAACGTCGGGAATTAAAAATAATTAAAATAAAACGCGATAAAATCAGAAACGTTAGTTTTAATCAATGTGTAGTGTTCGCGTAAATATAAGAAATCATTATTTTACTTTCGTAGTTTCACTGTGTAGTTGTGGCGTGAGAGAATTCATTACCACTCTCCGTCCCGTGGTTTTCTAAAGTGACAAATACATGGGAAAGATAGAAGCTACTCATAACCTTCGAGAGATCGTGATGTAAATAATTGGTATATGTCAGTAATAAAGGCAATCGTTAATCTGAAAAATTCTCCTATTAACTAGAAGAGTACAACAGAGAATTAGAATAGATTGATGAAGAAATAGAAGTTTGTTTATGCAAAATCACGACACGCCGTAGCTATATTATGCTTAGTGCTCATGTGTTTCGTATGCTTTGTGTAGATAACTTTTTTACTGTAGGTAACGAGTCATTCTATTTTAGTCTGCAGGGGTATCAACGTATCTTTATTTTGCTTCTTAATGAAGGATATTGGTATTTATGGGCCATACCATCCAATTACCAACAGGTGGACACTGTGCTCGCTGGTTATCTTTATTCTATAAAAATTATCATTTAACTAATCTATAGAAATGGGAATATTCATTATTTTTTAAATTAAGCTAATTAAATATAATTTTGCTAAAACAACAGAAATCAAGAACTCTTGTGGTAATAGAAAAGCATAGAAAATATTCAATGTTTGTCTTCTTTGTTACAATAACACAGCAAGTTTTTTTTAATCCGTGGTAGAGCCATGCTGCAGTTACATTAGTAGTATAGTTGCAGCACGAACGTGTCGGCTCAACAGGGGAAAGACCACGCTCTCACAGAATACCAGCGTCAAATAGTAGCTTCATGCTGCTGTGTTTCGTATGGTGAGTGTAGAGAACCGGAGACCTTTTTCACTGGAAACGAGGCATTCCATCTTAGTCCTCACGGGTGACAACGCATCTGTATTTTGATTCGTAATCGAGGAAAGATGTAAATGTCTGCGTGCCGCAGCAACCACTTACCATCAGGTGGACTGTGTGCTCGTTTGTCACCCTATCCTATAAAAAGAAAGTTAAAATAGTAGAATAAGTTTTTGTTAAATTTTCTCTACAGAGTCATTTGGAGCGTATAGTTCAACGACCTGGGGGTCAACGAAGTGGCACATTAGCTCTGCCGCCACCAGCACCGACACGGTTTCATACCCTCTTTGAATTAGGAGCTAAGCATTCGAAGACTACGCTCACACCTCGCCATGATAATCGATCCACGTTAGCTTCTATAGCTCTTGCGGTGAGTTTTGTTTGTTTTTTTTTTTAATTCTAAATAAGGATTCTTAGTTAACAAACTTGAAAAAAAGGCTAAGGAAATGTCTGCCGCGCTGCCTCAATGCATGTTTACGAACTTTACATGTCTTTGAAATATTTTAAAGTTATTTCTCAGAAATGCAGGTCTCCTCGCGTTGTTGTCCTTCATTGCTGAGCACGTGGTAAATCAGCTCTTAAAATTACTATTAACAATTACATTAGTGCCTTCGGGAATTGAACCCAGGTTGCTCACGTATTGTGAAACTTAAAGTATTAATTATGTGCGAGCAGCTATGCAAGTAAGGGAAAGAGACCAGTATCACTGCGACCTAAAAGATCTATTGTGATCGCTGCTATGGCTATAGTTCACTGAATATGAGGAGTTGCTTAGCTGTGAGCAGTTTCACTTCTTCTGAGCGGAGTACATAATTTCCCAGACGAGTGTTACGTTTGCGTATTAAGGTTCCGCAATCAGTTAGGATGTGCAGAGGCGTTTCTTCCGTTATGGAACAGAACCGACACATCCTTGAGTTACTTAGTCCCAGTATGGAGATGTGATTTTTAAGACAACAGTGTCCTATTAGGGTTCTTGCCAGAATGCGCAATTTATTTTTTCTTAATCCCAGGGCTTCTGAAGCGAATTTACGATCAAAAGTCCAGATTAGGGTTTTAGAATGTCTTAAGCCTAGTGTGTCATACCAGATATTAAGTGTTTTAGTTTCAAGGGTGAATTGGGCTAGGCTTTTTGAGATTCCACAAAATGGCTCCTGTACAAATTTTGTACTCTTTGAGCACTCCCGTGCGAGATCGTCGGCAAATTCATTACCTGCAATACCCGCGTGACCCGGAACCCACCTAAAGACGACCCTGTTGTTACATTCCAGGGCGTTTAGTTTAGACGGTTCACGCAGTCTTCAACTAGCTTCGAGTTCATTAAGTTTGACCTCAGTGCTAGCAGTGCTGCTTGACTAAGAGTTTACATAAATTATATGGTTGACGTAGTGTTTTCGCAGATTGATTTCCGCACACTGAAGTATGCTGAAAATTTCTGCCTGGAAGAGGGAAGTGAATTTACCCAAATTAGTATTAAATTTGAATTTGGGGCGTTCCCCTTATATTGCAAAGCCTACGTCGAGGCCCATTTTTGACTAATCGGTATACCATATGTGACTATCGACCTCATAGATAACCTGGCCATTCAGCCAGTTTTCTCTGGAGGGTAGTTCCACCAAATACTTTTTATCAAAAATTATTAGTTGATGCATGATATCTGTGATCATACATAAGACCGATGTTTCCTTAGTTGAGTCGAGCATGGATCTCAATCTGTAGGACAGCGAGCTCAAACCGCCCTTGGCGTTAATCCTATAAAGACTAGCCTTTGCTTCCTTGTCTAGATGAAGATCAAGGGGTGTTAGGCATAGAAGTGTATTAAGGGCCTAGGCATCTAGGCGATGATCGTATCGCACCAGTTGCCATTAAGCAGCAACTGTCTGTCCGCAGTCGTCCTTTGGTTGACCTTGTTGCATCAGACAGTGGAGGCGTAGGTGAGAATCAGCCTCAAAATGCTCCGACCCAAGCTTCAGTTGTTCCGACTAAACGACTGCACGTACATAAAGCAACTTTTGCCATATGGCATACGTTGCTAAGGTGAGAGTTCCACGTTAGTTTTTAACTTCAGTGGAAAATGGTTCTTCTTTACCATTGAGTTTTGGCGTGACTAATTTGTCCAACCGTGTCTTTTTGGTAAAGGGTATTATAACAGTTTTATCAACATTAACTTGCTCTAAAGATTTTTACCAAATAAGGTAAGATATCTATACCGGTCTATAGTTGGAAAGGGATTATTCCATCCTCCCCGCTAATATGGTTTAAAGGAGTCAAAAACCCACTGCACCAGGTTTGGTCTTACCATCTCAGCACCCTTACACAAGTCCTCATTACGAGACCTTTGTAGGGATCTGAAGGAATTCGAAGCAGAAGTCCTATGTGACCCCGGGAAATGGGTTGACGCAAGTAACTCGAATGTTTCTGTGTCACTATTAGTGAAGTTACCATCAGGCTTTTTAAGAAGCCTGATCTGATTAGGTTTAGCTTTCGATAGCATTTGTGTAGTCTTGCACTGCGAGGCAAAGACTCAACTTTCTCACATAGCTTCCTCCACGATACTTTCTTGGTTTTCTTAATTTCTTTATTATATTCAGTTAGGGCTGCACTATAAATATCACATTCTTTAATTTTTAATCCTATTAAATAAATTCCTGGTCTTTTTTCTAAGTTCTTTTACCTTAGTATTTCACCAAGGAATTTTTCGTGTTGAGGTCTTGGTTTTGACGAGACAACTGTCATTGAAGTCTTCATGGATACCTACGATTACTTGCCGGAGAGGAGAGCAGAATAGGTGTTAATCTAGTCCTACCGATAATGTCTAAATTTTAGGAGTAGACTAACCCCAGCCCATCTTAGCCCCTAAGCTACCACGATTATTGAGGCTATGATTAACAAAAAATATCACACTCTTTAATTTTTATTTCCAGGTGGCGCAATCTAATAAAGCTCTAAATATATCGGACGTTGATGACTGGAGAAAAGAAAACGGCATGATTGTTGCGGACATTGAAGCAGATGATGCAGTAAACGTTAGGACGATGTTGTGCATGCCTATTGTTAATGCTAACAAAGATGTGATTGGTGTAGCGCAGTTAATTAATAAGGTATAATGATTTTTTTTAAAGTAACCAATAAAAATAGTTATCTCAAAAGAGTTTAACAAGAATAAGTATCAACCAACGATTACAGCAACTTCTGAGCTGAGAAGGGTATGATAGGGGAGATGTGCAGCAAAATCTTTCTGATAACAACTTAAATTAATTATAAACAACGGTTTCCAACCCGCCTGTCATACGTGACAAAAAACTGCATTTTATCCCCCAAAGAGGGAGCCCCCTGATCCTCAGCACTTAAATGGAATGCTTAGCCGCTTTGTAGTTGATTGCGTAGTATGCTTATGAGACTTTTACAGAAAAGCTATATAGAACACGCAATGCACTACAAAGTAATTATCACTTTGTCAAAAAGTTAGCGAATAGAACTTCTCGTGCCCTCGCTATAATTATTAATAGATGTCATTCGCCAAACTCATTAAAAAAAAGGTTACGTTTTATAACGATCGCTGAAAAAATATAAGATAATATGAGATTTTAAATAAAAAATTAATTTTACTAAAATTTGGTGAATTTTCGGCTTTCTTTTTTATTAAATAGAGCACGTTGTTTCCTTTTTTGGTATTTTCTTAATATAACATATTTCATGTGCGTTTGATTTTTCTTTTAATAAATTAATATTTCATCGCTTATTACATTAGAATTCATCCTACACATCAGATTTTAAAGCCAAAAGCTTATGGACATATGTGTACTCCATAAGCAAGAGTATTTAAAATAACCTTCTTGCTAGATCGTAGGGCTAGATATTGAGAAGGCAAACTTGTCGGATTTTGAAGAAAAGGAAAGGAAAATAAGATGTTGAAGAAAACGAAAGCTAGTTAAAGAATATGGTTAAGGTAGATGAGAAAAAATGAATACAAAAAGCCGGATATCAAAAACCCGAAAGATATCGAAGCAATAAGTTATACCTCGCGGAGCTGCACAACCACAAAACAACATCTTGTATTTCAATTGCCATAATTTTATAGACTAGGTCAGAATTTTCCGGAGGAGGTCAGGAGTTTGTCTGAGTTCGTTACTCCTCCAAGAAGCACAATTGCACCTATTTTCAGTTTCAATACGAGTAGATAGAGAGCGAGTCATAGGTAATAATGCATTGGTGAATATTTGTTTGAATTGGCTTGCCCGTGGGCGAACCACATAAAACAAAAGTTCGTTTGTCACTTTCAATAAGAATAAAAATATTACTTTGTAAATTTTTATAAAAGTAGGTACAGTTTCTTTCACCTTTTACAATAAGCTAATTCTAATTGTTTACAGCTTTATTCTAATTGTTTACAGGAAAATGGTTCGCAATTTACGGATGGCGATATATCGATATTCGAAGCGTTTGCTATTTTCTGCGGTCTTGGAATCCATAATACACAAATGTACGAAAACGCTTGTAAACTTATGGCGAAGCAGAAGGTAATCCTATTTTCTTAATAAATCGACTTTCTAGTGCACATTTGGTTGTCATTTATGTAAATGTTAATATTGTTGACATTCTGATATTAAATGGATTATCATTTCATAATCAGCAACATGCACTGGAGCAGCCCTGCGAACTAATTACTCCACAACCCTCTCAAAAATAAGAAAAGCCTTGTGCCCATCTGTAGGACATGTGTATAAAATCTGTGGATTTAGATTTTTCTGTAATATATTTTTATTGGTTTATTTTTATACACATATTGACAGTAGCCTTTCTTAGAGTAACTTAGTTAATTAATAAATATAACATTAATAATCATATTTTCATATAGCAGTCAATATAAGATAAAACACTTAAAATATTATTATTTAGTCAAGTCAGTAGTTTTACTAAATGTCATATTGCAAATAAAATTTGCAAATTAGCACACGATTATAAATAGATAAGTAGTTTTTATCACATAATATATAATTAAGAATAATAAAATTGAAACAAATAATAAACTGAATTTGACTTTCAACTTAAAATAAATGTCATAATTTACCTTACATAAAACACTTTATTATTGAATATAGGACACTCATTTCCGAGTAAAGGCCGCCTCCATCCGTGACTAATAAAATTTTGTAAGAAATAAATGATGTAATAACTGTTGATTATTTCGAATTTTTTTTCTTATTCCAGGTTGCATTGGAATGTTTGTCATACCACGCAACAGCATCGACCGAGGACACAAATAAATTGAGTCAAGATATAATTCCTTCTGCAGACAGCTACAATCTATATAGCTTTAAATTTCACGGTAAATCGTTATTTGAGATATATCTTCATGTACGTTTAAAAGCTGAAGAGCAGAACACCTAGGTTGTATCGGATACATTTAGGTATTAGGTATTTGTATTTTAATTTTTAATTGAAGATATATCTAGAAATCTATGGGCCCCAGCATACACTTACCATCAGATAGATCGTATAGTAGTTTGTAACTTATCCCTTCAATTGTTAAACAAAAATTTCGCAGTTTTCGCAATATGGCCGATACTGTTGACGATAATGTTGATGATGAAAAATCGCCGGTTGTAAACTATTCCACAGAGAGGTCGTACACGGAAGAAAACTCTTTGTGAAACGTACAGTGGTGGACCGCCAAGCATCCAGATGGTGTGGATGGTATCAGGACGTTTGCCGTGTAGTGCGTTCACGAGATTTGACGGCTGGGATGAATCCAAACAATTCCTCAGAGCACTCCCCGTGGTATATGCGAAAGAAAATGCAAAAAGACGCAACATCTCTTTGCAACGCCAGTGAATCGAGCAGATCGAAAAACACTCGGTCGGCGACGATTCGAGCCGCTCTGCGCTGGATGCGGTCAAGTGTAAGGAGCTGGTACTGGGCAGCTCCAGGCCAGAGATAGGAACAGTATTCCATGTGCGGCCGAACCTGCGCCTTGTAAAGTTGCAGGCGGTGTGCCGGCATGAAATACTGTCCCGCTTCTGCTGAGCAGGCAAAGCTTTTTAGAGACCAATTTGGCTTTCTCTTCCAAGTGACCACGAAACTGCACGTCACTCGATATGTCGACGCCCGATACCGATTCTGATACTGGCTGAGGCAACAAGGGGAGCGCCTTGAAACTGAGGAGATACGACAAAGGGGTTCTTTTTAGCGGTTAACGTGCAAATTTGTGTCTTCTGATGTTTAAACTGGACTAGATTTAGTCGCCCCAATCCGAGACTCTGTTCAGCAGAGACTTAACTTCAGACACAAGTTTTTCCCGGTACTCGGGGACGGTTTTCCGAGAAATATTGGCACGGCCGGTGTACAGAGCATCACCAGTGCTGTCATCTGCATAGCAATGAATGTTACGGGTTTGCAACATATCATTGATATGCAGAAGAAACAGCTTTGGCGATAGCACGCAGCCTTGTGGAACACCAGCATTAATAGGCTTGTTATCGGAGCTTGCACCGTCTACAACGACCTCGATACTCCGACCTGCAAGAAAGCTAGTGATCCAATTGCACAGTTTCTTGGGAAGCCCGTAGGAAGGGAGCTTCGAAATAACTAACGGCCAATGCCTCCCCCTTGGACTCTACTGCCTCCGCCCATCTATGAGTTAGGTAGACCGGAAGATCATCAGCTGATCGACCACGGCGAAAACCGTATTGGCGATCACTAATCAGCTGGTGATCCTCAAGGTAGCTCATGAGCTGGCAGTTTACAATGGACTCCATTGTTTTGGAGAACAAGGAGGTGATGGCGATAGGCCGGTAGTTGGACGGGTCTGAGCGGTCGCCTTTTTTAGGGATCGGTTGGACGAAAGCCGTCTTCCATGATTTCGGGACTACGCCTAGGGAGTATGAGTACCGGAAAAGAGAGATCAAAATGCACGGGTTCCGGAAGGAAGGCAAACTAGTTTTTCGCCAATTCTGCCTATGTGCTCTGAATTTGCCTTGGCAATGACTCTTTATTTTTTGTTGTCGCCTTTCTTGAATAACAAGACTACATATCTGCACCATGCCTCAGAAGTAGTTTCACAATAGACGACAGTATTAAAGAGCTTCAAGGCCGCTAAACTTCAAGTACTAGTTTTAATCCGCTTTCAAAAGTTCCGCTGTAATTCCATACTTGCATGAGGCCTTACAGTTTTTAACCACCTTATGCTTGAAGAGCTATTTTAAACTCGCTTATACTGACGGATATTATTGGAATAGTATCGGATAAGACTTACACAGTTGCGTGTGGTTCCAACAATGACGTGTAAAGCTGTCCATAGAACCTCTCAACCTCACTCAAAATCTCGGGTGTCCCAGAAACGATGCTACCATATTCGGTCTTCAGCTAAGACTTAAGCTTTTTCTGTCAGCAAGATCTCTGGCAAAGACTTTGGAGCCCTGTTTCACTTAATTGATTCTTGAATACAAGCTATGTTGAAGTTTCGTACGGCCCTCATTTGGAGATCGGTCAGTTTAGTTGCCTGTACGTTGTCATAAGCTGAAGACTGCTTCATTTTTCGTCTAAAAGCCATGAGAGATTGATCGAAGTTGTTTTTGTATTTTTCTGCGACGGGTCTTGTAAAACTTAGCTCCAAGCACATGGACAGTTTTCACGAGCTTGTGATTCATATCGCCCACATTATTGCAGTTTTCTTGACACTGAAAACTAGCTCGAGCTGAAATTTTTTGGGACTCTGAATTAGAGCAAAAGAAGGCGACGGAGCATTGTCTTCATTTGATTTGACCTCTTCAATTTAACCTTTAGATTCATTGTGCCTCTCACCTTTCGTTGATCACAGTTTTCACACCCGTGATCACTGTGATATCAAACCAAAGCCTAAGAAGAACATACAGTCTGTCATCGCGTTTGATCTTCTCGGAAAAGCCAACATAAACTACTAGGCTTGTCAGAACAGGAAGTAATGAGGAAATTAAAAAAAGAAACGGATTTTATTTTACATCACGTTTAAACTAATTTCTGTGTATGTAGAAACTGATGAAACTAAAAAGCCTTATCTTTAAATGAGGAGGACCCGCAGGTTTTGACCGTTTTTTTTATAGGATAGGGTGACAATCGAGCACACAGTCCACCTGATGGTAAGTGGTTGCTGTGGCCCATAGACATCTACATCTATCCTCGATTACGAATCAAAATGCAGATGTGTTGTCACCCGTGAGGACTAAGATGGAATGCCTCGCTTCCAGTAAAATGGGTCGCCGGTTCTCTACACTCACCATACGAAATACAGCAGCATTAAGCTACTATTTCACGCTGGTATTCTGTGAGAGCGTGGTCCTTCCCCGGTCGAGCCGACCCATTCGTGCTACAACTATACTTCTAAATATAATAATAACTGCAGCATGGCTCTACCACGTATAAAACATGTAGTGTGAATTATTTTAACTTATTTGCATGATAGGACAAACCTAGCGGACAGCTCCCGAGGGGCCTAGACGCTTGGAAGCTGTCCGCTAGGTTTATTCGCTCCGCCCGCGTCACGCCTCGCACGCGTCATCACTAGACGCATTCTAGGTCCGACTGTTATTCGTAGTTAGACTGTGACTGGACCATATTCCATAAAAATACTTAATATACGTTTTATAAAATATTGTTTCAGATTTTGATTTAACGGACGAAGACACTTGTAGAGCAACGTTGCGTATGTTCTTGCAATGCAACCTCGTTGAGAAGTTTCATATACCTTACGATGTAAGTATTCATCATTATGTGAAAGTGCTTGCCTATATTCCCAGTGCTGGGAACAGAGCTTGTCCCATTTCTCTTCCCCACTGCCCACGAAATTACATCTTGGTTGATTTCTAACCATGAACTTTCTAACAATGTAGATAACTTGATTTTTTATTATGTAGAACGACTTGAATCATTAATGATTTCAATGGTCTATTACTATTTTCTATTATTTTTCATTTTTTGTAGAAAAACATTAGTAATCTTATTATTTAACATTACTAATACTCCTTTTAACCACCCCTGGTAAGCTTAAAACGCTTGTGTTAGGAGTGGTTCACGATAGTAGTCAAATGGCGGATTCAAACCCACGACCTTTTGAGTTATCGATGCGCGCCCTGCCATTAGGTTACTGTAAAACTACGTTACTATGTATTATATGTGTTATTTACGTTAATATGTATTATTGTTATTATGATACATTTATTTATTTAGATTATTTTAACAGATATGTAATTAGCATAGCATTTTAATAAGTTATAAATAAACATTCAAGATTAATAAAATAATTATTTTCGACTGACTAAAATTTTAACTAGCTAAAATTTGCCAATTTTATGAACGGAGATAATCAGTTTAACCTTGAATATTAGGATAGTATGTAATCTGCAATTATCCTCAACATATTAGCACCTCCAAGCTCTGCTCCAAAATATATTTATACATTTTAGATTCACATATCCATCAAAAATTAAAAATTAAAAAATAAAGATAAAATATATCAACAATAGCTTGCCAGGCAGACGTTGTTCTGTCCTTTTCGACGGCAATTTGTCATGTCCTATTAAAAATCCTTAAATTCGCAAAAAATTGTGGCTCACTCATGGGCAAAAAAAAAACTATCCTATCTCTTAAGTTGGACCAAACTGCACACGGTATGCAAGTTTGATTAAAATCGGTTAAGTAGTTTAGGAGTCCATCGCGGACAAACAACGTGACACGTATTTTATATATGTTAGAATAACATATAAAACTTAAATTGTCTGTTAAGCGGCGGCTAAATTTCGTATAGCCAAAGATTGAAACGAAACAGGAGATAAGGGCAGCCTCGTTCTAAAATTAATAAAATTTTGGAAAATCCGCTTGTGAAGCGCATGAACTATGGCAAAATATTTGCCCCATAAAGCATATATAGGGTAGGCATGTGTTGAACAGTTGATAGGCTGTAATTAATAAATGATTATATATATATATATATATATATATATTATAATTAAAATTAGGTACAACTGACTCTACACATTTATAGATGTTACCATCTCCTGTGTCATAAAAAAGATATTATTATCGATATTAATATCTGTATTATAATGGATTTCCGCAAATTAACGCCTGATTCTATCAATTATCTCCTGTATTATTTCATTTTCCTCTTTTGCCTCCTATGACACCCACGGAATAAGATGGGGTAATAAATTCTGTTCCGGTGCCACAAAACGGCAATTTATTGCACTTTAGAATACTAATGTGTTCAATATTGTTTACATTTGTTTAGGTTCTCTGCCGTTGGATATTAAGTGTGAAGAAAAACTATCGACCAGTGAAATACCACAACTGGCGACACGCCCTTAACGTTGCTCAAACGATGTTCGCAATGCTCAAAACCGGCAAAATGGAGCGATTCATGTCCGATCTCGAGATTTTGGGACTTCTAGTTGCATGCCTTTGTCACGACCTTGACCACCGTGGAACGAACAACGCGTTTCAAACTAAGACGGAAAGTCCTCTCGCAATTTTGTATTCAACTTCTACCATGGAACACCATCATTTTGATCAATGTGTAATGATATTGAATAACGAGAGTAGTAATATATTTCAGGTTAGTATTGTTTCTGCTTACTTATCCGATAAACAGACTCCTTTTAAACATGGATTTTTATGTGAAATACCAATCACAGTACCAAGCGATTCAAATATTTGTCGTTTTCCACTATATATTTAGAGTAACTCTAAATCACAGTCCACCAGATGATAAATGGCTCTCCAGTCCGTGGACACTTGCAGTGAACAAAAAACAAAGAAGGTTTTTTTATATGAGAAGAGGTCACCGAGTATGCCGCTCGTCCGATGGTAAGTGACTACCGCCGTCCATGAATAACTGCAACACCAGAGGAATTCCAGATGCGTTGTCAACCTTTTAAAAAAGAGTAGGCTCTTTCCTTGAAGGTCACTAAGTCGTATCGGTCTGGAAAAATCTCTGGTAGTAATCGATTCCTCAAGGAAGTTGGGCGAGGAAGAAAATTTCTTTTAAATCGCACGGTGGTGGACCGCCAGTTATCTAGATGCTATCGCGAGTTTTGTCATGATGTGCGATAGAAAAATTGTGCGGCTGGAATTAGTCCGAACAATTCCTTTGATCACTCCCCGTGGTAAATACGACAAAGATACGCAAAGAGATGACCATCTCTTCGCAGCGCAGCGGCAGTGAGTCAACCGATCAGAAAGTGCTTGGTTGCCAACGATTCGAACCGCCCTGCGCTGGATGCGATCAAATGGAAAGAGCTAACACTGGTAATCCCCAGCCCAGGGAGGGGAGCAGTATTAGATCCGAAGCCAAACCTGCGCCTTGTAAAGTTGCAGGTAGTGTGCCGGCATGAAATACTGTCCAGTTCTGCTGAGCACGCCAAGTTTTTTGAGCCCAGTTTGGCCTTCTTTCTCAAGTGACCACGAAACTACACGTTATTCGATATGTCGGCACTGCGGATTTCAATACTGGCTGATGCAACAAGGAGAGTGCCCTGAAATGTATATTTTGGGGATTTAACTGGAATAGATTTGGTCGCCCCCTATTCGAGATTTCGTTCAACAATGTTTCGACTTCAGAGACAAGTTTGTACTGATACACGGTGACGTATTCCCGAGAAATATTGGCACGGCCGGTGTACAAAGCACCACCAGTGTTATGTGAATATTACCGGTTTGCAAAATATCGTTGTGCAAAGGATACACAACGGGTTACTATCAGATCAAAACAAAGCAATACAGGCACTGTTATATGATGTCAAATATAGACAAGAGACCCGGACGGACTAATAGACATAAAATGAGTCCTACCACCTAGTACAGTAGTAGCTCTAAGAAAGAAGGTAACACATGCAATTTTACCTCTGAGAATCAAAATTTTTCTCTTTCCTCCTCTTTCTGACATATCACATCAAAGTGTTCTTTAATAATAATAGAGTTTTCCGCTCATCAACGTGTTACGCGTAATGGTAGCGGAGCCCAAGAGGGGATTTTTTAAATTTACTCAAGCGCGTCAGAGTAAGGTAAGGTGCGTAAATACGAGCTAAAAAGAGTGCATTTAGAAAATCTGACGATTTGATCGTAACGTAAGGGAATGGGAGGGATACAAAGTTGTAAACAAACTTTATCTTGATATTCTCACACGTGATTGATCTTTTTTATTTTGCAGGGAATAATGCAAAATACAAAATAAAAAAAAACATAATTTGCCGATTTACACGAGCCAAAGTACCAAATATCGTTTATGAAGATGAGAGCGTGCAGCTGGAGTAAAGCATGTATACCCCACTCCGCGCCTCTCTCTCTCTTTGACTTTTTCCCTACATCTGACTCTCTCGTGCCATTCCCATCCATTCACAGTAACATTTTATGGTTATTGAGTAAAAATTGAGTATAAAATTGAGTAAAAACGTTCATACTTTTTTCTAACGGTCAGATTAATTATATATATATCCTTCAAAATAATCGTCAGATTTTAAGTTACCATAATTTAGACCTAAACTAAACCTTCTCTACAATGATCTGACGCGCTCGAGTATTTTAATATGGCAATTTTTTATTTCGTATTTTCAAAAATTCGCTACGATCTTGCGTCACTTTAATTGAGAGCAGTTTTAGGGTTCCCTTACACACATTTTAATTATTTGACGAGAATTATTTTTTCACATTGAACAGGATTATTTTTTAATTAAGCCATTTAAATAGTATAGGTCCAACTCAAATCGGATAATCTGTACTATAGTTAGTATTATTTTCCCATATAAAATTATAAATAATGTAAAATAAATTATAGCGCTACATTGATAAGAAATTAGATTTTTAATTAGTTTAATTTATTAAATTAATGGGTATGAATTTATTGAATAAGTATTAATGAAAAATTATAAATAATGTAAAATAAGATTAAACATTGAATGTAAAATCAAAATCATGAAATAAAGTCCTTCAGACCGAATTTTGGTCATGGCGGCCAGGATAAACCGAGATTAGCCATTTGCGCAAAATTATAGTGCCCAAGTGTATGCGCAAGCACAGTTGCACTCTTTCTTTTACAGTCCAATGGTACGGTAACTTGACTGGACTGAAGAGACAATTATTATCATCAACATATATCAGGCGCAGGACCAACGGTTTTACGTGCTTTCCGGGCGTGGAGGTGAAACACTGCTAACTTCCTAACTCCGGTTTGCAACTGAGAATTTCTTGACAGAAAAACCCAATAAATGATTTTGGCTCGACCTTTGGATTCGGACCCGGGACCTCATGATCACCAATCGCGTTTACGAACAGTAAACTAAGAGTGCAATAACACAATACTAAAAATATTGCAAAAATAATGAAATAAATGGTAAATTAAATAAATAAATAATATATTAAATAAATAAATAGTAAATTAAATAAATAAACAAATATTAATACAGTCAGATGTCAGCCGTCTAGTCTCAGCAGGGAAATCAGACGGCTAAAGGTTTACGGTAAAGATAAAAACCCCGACGGAAGATGTGAGCGGTATCGAGGAGTATCACCTTCTGCATTTGAGCTGAGAGCGGTCCGTCACAGAGTCAAAGTCACCTCAGATGACCTAAAAGGCTGAACAGGATAAACTCGTTTGCAGAAATGACTTTAGGAATAGTTTCGGCTTGCAGACCACCCCACATGTCAGTCATCTCGTCAGCCAGACGCAGATATTTTGTTTGCGTATGCGTTTCGGCTTTCACGGAGTTTTCGTCATTCGGTATAGTAATATCAGCCAAACATATTCTTGACTGTGCCCAGTCCATCAGCATAATATTAGGATTATTGGTCAGAAGGGCCTGGCGAGATCATTTTTGAGGACGGCTTCCGGCAAATACTTATAATGAGATAGTTTCCAATCCACGAGACCGTATTTCAGAGCGACATCCCGGTATAGAATCCCAAGTTGTGTCTTTGTAAATACGCAGAGTTAGAAAGTAAATTAGATATAATATGTTAATACTTAAGTTTACTCTTTTCAGGCTTTGTCACCATGTGACTACAAAGATGTAATGAGGGTTGTTGAAACAGCAATACTTTCAACTGATTTAGCCATGTACTTCAAGAAGAAATCAAAATTCCTTGAGCTCGTTGATAATGGAGAGTTCGATTGGCAGAGTCCAGAAAAGAAAGAATGTGAGTGATAACAGTACATATATTTATTTATTTAAGTACACCAACGATTGTTGCAATAATGCAGAAATAGTATGCAGACATCAACGTACATACTAATTGCACAATCAATTAAAGGTATAAAAAGCATGCTTCAAGTTACTATAAAGTTACCTAGTAATCATAAATAAATAAAATACAAAGACTTGGGATAGAACCAAGTAATATGTCTATAAATGACTTAACAGTAAATGAACTATCGCTTAATATGGCCTTCAACTTAGCAAGAGACAACATGAACGTATATTGACCCAACGCACTTATTATATTATAGTCTGAAAATCCTGGAGACCGGTGAACTTGCTTCGAGAATTGTTTTGCGGAATAGATGAGAGTGAGGTTCAATGAATACAGAGCATTCGTGACGGAAATTTAAAATTAAATTTCATTAGGAGTGCAAGATAACGCAACTGATATCTTATAATCCTGAAAAGAAGGATATTTCAAGTAGATCCCTGCGTTTGTCCAAGTTTCGCATCGTTAGGAATACTAATAGTAGATCGTTGTAGGGGCTCAATCTTATATGGCAGTAGTGTGAGAACATCAAGTGTTTTAATAATCGTTATTGAATGCGTTTAATACGAAGTATGTGATTAGCATAATATGGATGACACCACACTTCTATATTCAAGTATCGATCTGACCAAGTTATTGTATAAAGCAATTTTTGAGAAAAGGCGCTTGAAAACTCTAGTGTTCCTTATAATAAAACCTAACATCTTGGATGCCTTTTCTATGATGTAGTCAATATGTGGAATAAATGTCATTTTACTGTCCATACGCATCCCCAGATCCTTTACTACTATCTTTACTTCTAATCGAATCACATTTCTTCTGTAGACGGATGGAATAGTATTCAATTGTTTAATGAACATTTTTTTTTGCCTTCTATCATCTGCACCACTCACTAGGGCGTCAAGAATAGAATCCTTTTGTTAGTTCCTTTTCCTGGGGTTTTATGTAATTAGGTAGAGCATTCACAAGTATTGAATAGTTTTTGTGTTTTTTGTTTAGTGCCGGTTTTCTCTTCTTTTTTCGGTTTTTAGTTCAGGTCAGTATTTTACTATTCCGCCAGATCTCGGTTAGTACAATAACATTATAATCTTAAATACAAAGGTTTTGTCAAAATATTTTGATTTAGTGCGTAAACCTCGAACATTTTGATAATATATAGATATAGAACATAACAATATATATTCAGACCACACGGAATAATACATTCACTGTATTGATTTTCGCACATATGATTTCCGTCAAATAAAGTCGTTCAGAAGTTTCACGATCACTTACAGATGCACTTACGGTTATATAAGAAATAAATAGATAGATGGATGGAACTACTGACTTGAATGAAACCCAACGTATTTTCGAACTTTAATGATTTCAAGATCAAATAATAATAACAATATAATAATATCCTTCAGACCGGATTTCGGTCACGGAGGGCAGTATCACCGGTGACTAATCATCTATGCAAGACAGGATTAAGTGCATCAGTGTTTGCGACGACACAGGTGCATTATCTATTTCCTTATTCTAATAGTCCAATTGAAAGTAAATCTGACACAACCTGACTTTACGTGCTTTCCGTGCACGGAAATAAAACACCGCCAACTTTCTCATTCGTGATGCTACCGAGGATTTCTTGATAAGAAACCCAAATAACTTTATACAAAGGTGTATAACCAAAAAAAGTTTTAAAACTAATTAAAAGAGGGTATAGAAACAGGTTGATCTCCTGAAATCATGAACTCAATTTTCATTTGGATTTACCTAACATATAAACGTTAAAAACTAAGCTTAGCTGATACTTAGTCATGTGGTAGTGTAACATAATTTGCTTCACTATATCGTCCGTGTGTGTTGGAATAAGTGAATATAAGAAATGTCAGAAAAATCTTACAGCATCCACAAACTGTCGGTATGAATATTTCGTTTACATTAGTCATAAACCGAGAGAGTCTCTTAGAGAAAAATTTAAAGAAATAAATATATTAACTTTGGCCTCTCAGTATATCTATGAAAATTTGATGTATCTTCACAAAAATAAAGGTAGTTTTAGTAAAAAAAAAAGTGACGTACACTCTGTAAACACTAGGAACAAACACAAGCTGGTGCCACCGCCAGTTTCTCGACTCCACAGATTCAGTAATTCATTATTGGGGCAATGTATACGCTATTACAACAAAGTCCTAGAAAATATATAAGGTCTCTCTATTACCAAGTTTAAATATTTAATTAAACAAAAACTGTATGAAAAGGTTTATTATGATATAAATGAATATATGGTTGATAATAACCCCTGGGAATGAGGTGGTCGCTTTCAAGCTGTTTCTAAAATAAATTTTGTAAATACTTTGTGACCCTTGACATTGTAAAATTTATTTAAAAAAAAGTCCCGCTAGGTTTTTTGCTGGTTCTTTCCAGGACAGAGGTTTTTTTTTTCGAACCAGTGGTAACGTAAAATATTGACTTTGAATAAGAATTACTTGTAATCTATATTGAATAAAAAATATTCTATTCTAATCTATTCCATACTAGACCGCAAGTACCGCAGTAGCGTTAAAATTGTGAGACGTCTGGTACTGTTAATCTGCCTACCAAACCTGGTCAAGGGAAAATTAAATTTAGAGAGGCCGATGATCAGCAGTAGAATTTTACGCACTAATTAATATAAATCATCAACTAAAATCTACTATATTTTTGGATATTTTAAAAGTGAACGTTATTATTCCAGTGCTTTGTGGCATGATGATGACAGCATGTGATGTGTCAGCAATAGCAAAGCCTTGGGAAGTACAGCACAAAGTAGCTAAGTTAGTGGCTGATGAGTTCTTCGATCAAGGTGACTTAGAAAAATTGCAGCTAAACCAACAACCGATTGCTATGATGGACAGGTATCATTGAAATTAAAAATTTCTCATTACTAATTTAACCCTTCGATCCCGATAAAATTGGCATGCAGCCGCATGCGCCTCCCAAATCCCGAGCGGTCGTATGCGACCGCACCCACTCACAGCACTTAAACCATTAAAACTTATATTTAAAGACTACTTTTCTATGAAGAAGTTTGGATTTATAAAATCTATACATAATTCTCTATCCTGTGGTCTAAATAAAAGTCAGGTTTGACTTCATTACAAAAAGATTTTATTGTATTTTGATAACAAAAAATATATACCAAGCGGATGTCAGCAGCGTTATAATCGCAATTATTTCTATATATTACTCGAAATTATTTACGTAAAAAGATAAATTATATTCACACAAAAACTTTCATAGCCATTTTATAATAAAACACTATAGTAAAATACTAATAAAACACTAGAAAATTCCAAAAATAAACACAACAACATCCAAATAAAAATTACGTAACTATGAACGTAGAATATAAATTAATATCCATAGACTAACTGTTTTTTTATTCCACTAGAGGATAGAAAATTTCATATTGATTCTATAATGCTAAACTTTTTAATAGAAAAGTTGTCTCTAAACATAAGTTTTTATGGGTTAAAGTGCTGTGAGTGGGTGCGGTCATATTTGACCGCTTGAATTTGGACGGAATATCGAATCGGTCAAATTTGGCCCCTTGGTGTTTGAGAGGTTAAATCAATACATATTCTGTAGAAATTTTTAAAATCAAATTTTGTAGAAGTTACTTATAATTAAAAAAAAATTTGCAAACTCATAGACAAAAATTGATTGTTTTATCAAAGAAAACTAACCGTGTAGTGGCTGTGTAAGAAAAAGAATAACTCGGCAGTATTGCCGTTTCAGCGCATTTGGCGCTAGATCTGGTGCACTTTCTAGGGTCTATAGCGTTTTTTTTAAATATCTACGTGCTAAAAATATCTAGTAGACTGGTAGAATAGATATTTGTAGCACGAATATATTATAAAAAGCGCTATAGACCCTAGAATTGCACTAGATCCAGCGCCAAATGCACTGGAATGGCAACTCTGCTACCCGGTACCATCCTGTGGGTGTGGTAAGAGACGACAGAGGGAAACAAATCAGGAGATGATCAGCTGCGTCATCGTTATAACGACTAAAATAAAAATAAACAGCGGTTGCCAATCCACTTGCAAAGTACGGTAACTGTGGCAAATACCTCCCTTAATAGACATTTTATGGGAAGGCCTACGTTCAGCAGTAGACTTTAATAGGCTTTAAAGGTAACGGTAACGGTATTAAAGAAAATTGTGTGATAACTGTTCATTGTGTTATAGATTATAATTTCCTTTAAAATATAACATTTTGTATTTTTAAATTAATTTTTTTTAAATTTTAAAAATTAAAAAAAATATTAAATGCTACTGGCACATTTTAAATTATTTTATATTTAAAATGTGCCATTAGCATTTAATCCTGTTTTATTTTTTCACATCATCATCATCATCATTACAGCCCTTCACAAGTCCACTGCTGAACATAGGCCTCCCCCAAGTAACGCCACAAATTTATTTTTATTATTTATTATTAATTATTTTTATTATTCATTATTTTTTCACGTTATACATTAATTACTTATTAAGATTGATTTTATAAAAGCAATCTTAATAAGGTCCCTATAGTCTTTGTGTTATAGCAAGGTGTGGGTGACAGCTTATAGTTTAGTGTGTCTAGAGATGGAACAATGTTATCGAATTAAAAAAGGCAATTAACGAGCAAAGCAAAAAATATCGATTGGCTATCGATAAAAAATTAAAACCGTAATATATATTTATTTGTAAGTTACAATGCATGTTAATTTTTGTTGCAGTTTAATACAAACTATGACATCATAGTCACATAGTATAGTATGTATTTATTTGAAAATAAAAACCATTTTCTATTTTATGTTAACTGCAACATTTATCTTAATATTAAAATAAATTAAACGGCTGTCGGCACCTGTGATTTTCAGAACGGCATTGACTGTACCTGCAGCTTCTCAAGGTACAACTCCTAGCATCTTTTGAGATTTTTGTTTAGAAATCTAATAAAATAAAAAATAAAAACAGGTTTTTTATAACAATTTTGGCCGCCACAAATTATACTAAAGTATTTTTGACACAATGCGCAATGAGATTTAGTATTATTTTTTTTGAAACTAAGCTAATGAACGAATAATTTATCATCCGAACATCGGAAAAACCGCATATTCGTCTATGTGCGTTTTTCTTTTTCCGCAAATCAGAACTTGTTGAATAGATTTCGTAGCAAATTTTGAATTTTATGAATGACTCATTTTGATGTTATTCTGAAAAAAGTAATAAATCTTATGAAGTCACAACTTATGCACTCCAAATAACCCTCAAAAACGGCATCATGCAATAAAAAAACACACATTAATTCTTTATGAAATTATAACCTCAAACGCTCAGATAAAATACCTTGCATCGCATGCATAATTTCTCGCTTGAGGAAATTGACTAGTGGAAGGACTAACCCACGAGACTTTTGCATTTTAATAAATGTATTTACTTATATTTTAAGCAACATGTAAGCTGAGTATTGTACTAATTACTAGTAAAATAATGTAAGGAAAAAAGCCAAAGCTAAAATATTTAAATGTGATAATAGGCACAGTAACAGCTCACAGTTGTATTTATTTTGCTAAGGAGGTTAGTAAAAAATCGGAACATTTGGTGTCCCGATCAAGGGTAAATCGCGACGTGTCACAGACCTTTGAAAATCGGGATGTCCCGCGCAAATCGGAACACCTGGAAGCACTAATTTGTATAATCTATGCTAGCACCTATACTATAATTATTTTGTCCGTGCAGTTTGGGTCATAAATCATCGGAGTATTTCGCTCTCTCTCTCTCTCTAACATGTGGAAATGCCTACGCATACCCGCCTCACGGGGGGCAAGGACGGGTTATGTTGGACTCGTACCGACTAAAACCCCACCGACTAAAACCCGAAGTGTTCCACCTTCGTCGCATATTGGCAGGGCTACGGGAACGCTTTCGCACACTTCCGCGGCCCTACCAGCGACTGCCGCCCCATGGCAGCACCTCCTCGGGAGACGAATATTCCTCCCCGTTCTCCTTCCCAAGTAAGGCGCACCAGAACACATGGCACGCCTTCCTCCACGGCCTCTAATTGCATCTGCGCCACAGACGCCCCCGCGTCCGATGCGCAAAGGCCATGGGGCCAGGAAAAACGAGCACTTAGAAGTACTAGCCTTACCGACCCCAACGGCGGATCTGGTCTATGGCTCTGCCGCCAACCAAGATTCGGCTGCGGAGGATAGGGAGAGCGGCGCCTCGCAATACCGACAATCCTCTCCCCCCGCAGCCCCATCACCACCGCATCAACGGTGCGGCCCCGTTTGAGTCGCGGAGGATAGGGCGAGTGGCGCATCGCCATACCAACACTCCTCTTCCTCCGCGACTCCACCTCGGCTGCAGCGGTAGAGGGTGCGGAGTCCCCACTCGCTGCAGTCCACCAGCACACATCCGAAGTGGGCTCCCCAAGCCCACTCGGAGTGGCCACCTCAGGCCGGCCCTTCACCTCGGGCCAGCCACGTGGGTTCCTCTTTGTTCACCGTGGGAGACCAAGCCACGGCTACTAAGCCCCCCCGCCACGACAAGGCGGGAACCCGTTCACGTGTTCGGCCGACTCACGGGCCTTAGGGTCGAGCATAGTGGTGCGCATTATTGTTGTCCATAAGCTTTATCGATAGTGTATTTAGTTTTGACATTAAGTGGGTAAGTGATAAAAATAAAAAAAATAGATAAGGCAATGTATTTATTAAAATAAGAATAATAATGATTTAAAATAAATTATTAATTAGGTAATGTATTAAAAAAAAACTATAAGTATAGTTGCCGACACGAGTCGTGAGCACAGATAAACTGTGGTGGGAGGTAGGTACACTGTCGGGCAAAATTATTGGGTACCTTTATTATTTCAATTCGTAATTGAATATTTTCGCCGACTTTTATGAAAATGTTTACTCGAACACATCAACTTTTACTTTGAAACAGTAATGTGGCAGATATTCGTATCCGTTATTTTATTATCTACTATAAAGTATTTAATGTATACCTGGTGGTTAGAATTGATTATTATTATTGCCTTCCATAAAATCCGGTGTTGCAGTGCGCCGTCCAGTAGCTACCGAGACATTAGTCGCCTCAGAAGTCTGTTTATATACGTCTATGATATTTTCACTGTACCTAATTTTTTAATGTAACTAAACACTGAATAAACCATTTGTCGGGATTGTCTATTTAATACCGAAATCTTTCTTCTCTGCATATTTAGACCAAAATTTGAACACTCAAATTATAACAACAATAATAATTAAAAACCAGAAATAACAAAAACAATTAATAACAAGGAATACACAAACAACAATTAACAACAAGGTAACAAAAAGAATTAACGAAAATGAACTAATTAAAAAAGTTATCACTGAAATTATTGCTCTAAAGTGTACGGAAGCCGAATGATACGTTCGAAACGAATAGACGACGAGAATCGACTGATGAACCAATCACGTTGAACGTCAGCGTGGTCAACGTCGTATCGACCAATAAAAAGTGTGCTCATGACTTATGTCGACAATTATACAAATGTGTACGCACCGCCGCCGTGTCTGTCGATAGCACTTTGTATGAAGTACCTATCGGCCATTTCGTAATTTCCAGTTATACATTATTTCTTCTACTTTAGAATATTGACTTTATTGTTGTTTTATTAAGTTGATTTTTACTATTTGTCGAGTAAGTTTATGGAAAAAGGCCAAAACAAAAAAGTCCTTCGAGATTACTTTAAGCGAGAACAACAAAATGGCAGAATAAATTAAGTACACATGAATATGACATACAGAAGAAATAGAATTATCTTACTAGTGTTTTGCAATTTTATTAGGTTGACAGTTTTTACGACCGATTAAGAGGGACGTTTCTTGTAACTTATAAAATATTACCGTTAATAATAACAGAATGTAATTGCGCTAGAAAGGGAAATAAATATTATTTGTAAAAAAAAACTACATTAGATGAGATTGTTGAAGTCAATATCAATCTAAAAGTCATAAAAAGTAATTCATTGTATTTTCTCATATTAAAAAAAATTGTCATATCTTGAAAACGCATGTAAGTTACGTTCTAGTGAACTGTCATCAGCACCTTGCTACAACATCAGTTGATAGCAGTACATAACGTGATGTAATTTTTATTAATATTATAGAGAGAAAAAAGACGAACTGCCACAGATGCAAGTAGGTTTCATCGATATGATCTGCTTACCACTTTATAAAGTTCTATCAGATACGTTCCCATGGATCCAGCCTTTGTACACTGGAACAATGGAGAACAGGCAGCGGTGGCAGGATCTCGCCGAAAAAGTGGAAATGGGTCTTACTTGGATTGATCATGACACCATTGATAAACCTATCGAAGAATTCACAGGTAACTTGATATATCCATCGAAATATTATAATACTTTTTATCTCTACATAATGCTTTACAAACATCTTAATATAGATGAGTTTAATTCGGAAGAAATAACTTATTATCGAATTTTACTCTTTTAGTAAGGAGTATGTATTAGAAAGCATTTCAAAGAACAAACCCGATTAAAAAACCTAATTCTTATTATATGGAATTGATCCATCTAATAGAATGTATATTAAAAGTAATATAAATTACGTAAGGGTAATATGATCACCTTGCCTTGCCTTACCTTGCTTTGCCGACCTATAAAACCTAAACTAGGAGACGGACAGGGACAAAAACACAAATTCGTATATACTATAGCTAATATATTAAAAAAAAATTGCAAACAAGATTTGACAATAACTAGGAACACTTCGAAAAATCAACTTAGAAAAAACAGATAGTGACTATATTTACTAAACGGTCAAGCGGTAATTGATAAAGCAGCACCCTCTTGACATTTATTATTTGATCGACCAATAAATAGCTATCGTATCACAGAGCCATTTACGCAAACAAGGCTGGATTTGAGTTAAAGTTATAAGAAAATGGCAATATCAACCGGATGACCATATTACCCCCACGTATAGATAGTAAGATTTAAAGTATTCTAAGTATGTGTGACAAATATAGTTATAATATGTATCTAATTATTTTATTTCATATGTAACTGATAGCTTATGGTGTTTATCGAAAACTGTCACTATAACAAACAAAAACAAGCAGATGAAATCACAATTATTGGAAGTCTCATAACATTCTGTGAGGATTTGAATTCTGTTTGGCACTCTTAACAAATATGACACATGTAGTGTGGCTAGTAATATTAATCTATAGACAAATATTATCTTGTAAAACAGTGTGATTTGTGTTTCATTTTGTTTGGTTATTGCTATTTAAGCCTTCAGGATTAAATCGTATTGCTCTATCCAAGTAGTTTTGAAGATATGACGAAGTTCCTTTTGTCCTTCATGTGTTTTGAACACAAATGCATATTACTATGTATGTATTCATTTAAATTATCTAAAAAATACAGCTTTAGTTTGTGAGGCAGGCGAGTACAAGTGTGGTTTGGCCTCAAGTTTTTTGTGTATAGTTGCTAATTTAAAAACGTATTTTTAAAAATAATTTGTAAGTTGGCAGTTTTGTTTTCAGCATCAAATGAAGCAATAAAAGATGTTGAATTGACTGTTACCACACTTAACTGCGCAAAACCTGTACCAGAAACAAGTAACATGGCCCTTGTAAAAAAAACTTATTCGTTAAGACGACCAAAGCCCGGAAACTTTCCACCGCGGCCACCTCGGAATAAATTTACTAGGTAATTTTACATTATCACTAATTATATTATAGCTGTTACTAATTTTTATAACTTCGGATTAGTTTGCAAACTGCTCGAATTAATAGTGCAACAAACGCATGAAATTTTCACTGACAAGCATATTATATAATCATATGGAGAATGAATAGTTGTTAAAACAAAATGAAACTCAAGCCTCCTACAGATCCCTCTACGCGCCAAGCTCTCAGCTAGAAGAGAAAGAGAAGACACAAACGATGGTACTGACAGACAAGAACAACCATTCAACCGTGGTGACAGAGCCAGAACGGACGTCTCAATCTAGTAAAACTTCGAAACATAAGGGCAGGCTTTGTCATATGTTGTGACGGTTAAGTTTCCACTGGTGAGAAAAAGTTTTTATATTTTTATATGTTCAAATCGTACATAGGAGATTAGTGTGGGCAATTTGGCATTACGATGTTAATTCGCGCTTAGCATTGGCGTCTGCAGTGTTAGACATACTCATAATAGCTATTGCTCCTTTGATGTTTTCCGGTTTGTGTATTTTATTACACGTTTTTTTTCATTAACTCGCTTTTGTATTCACCTCTTCGGGTCGAATTTAGTACCTAATTGATTTTAAATTAACTTTCTATGAGCTGGACTTGAAATTTTGACCAAAACTGACAATGGGTTGACAATGGGTTGACAATGTCAATTATAAAAAAAACTTGGTATATTACATTTTTATTATCATAATATGATAGAATATATTATATTTTTAAAAATTATATTTTAAATTACATTATAGCTTATAGACCACCTGATAGTAAGTGACGAATAGTTAGTGAATAACTATTTATTTCTCAACCTCTCTTGGGATTAACTGGTAGCGAACGCCGTAAAAGATTAATTCCGCCCATTGCCTTACAATAAATAATTAAAAATAAGAAGGTGACTTGGTCAGCCCATGTTTGCCTGCTAACAACTTGCCTTGCCTGCTACGTCGTAGTGACAAATATAGCCTAGCTTTGCTCACAGGATTGCCTGAAAACTAAGCTGGTATGCGAATCAGCATATTACCCGCCGTTTATCAAAGTAAAATACATCCCCAAAAATATGCAGAAGGCAAAATGGGTAGAAGTTGTATGTAGTTGTAGTGTGCCTCTTACTCCATTGCTATAGAATTTTTTTTTAAATTGTCGTAAACATAATGAAATAATAATGTATATTACATGTGACATATTGTATGTCACATTATATTGTAGTGTTAACATATTGTCATGAATTTTAATTGCAATTTATTAGTGAGGAAATGTGAGAAACCTGCATGTTGAAGAATAAGAATTATTGAATGTGAAGTTAACAGCATGGACCGCGGACACTTCCGCCTAACTTAGATGGGGAGAGCCCAGCAGTGGGACGTATATAGGCTGTAACTTTACTTTTTTACTTTTATTGTATGTAACATATTGTATGTAACATATTGTATGTGACATATTGTATGTAACATATTGTATGTAACATATTGTATGTAACATATTGTATGTAACATATTGTATGTAACATATTGTATGTGACATATTGTATGTGACATATTGTATGTACTTATGTACAATATTTATTTTTTAAAGGACTAGTCAGAGCAGTACAGAGAAAAAGGACAAAGTAAAGCCGTCCAAATCTATCGACTAAAACAAATGGCCACCTGCTTTGAATTAGTTCGGTGAAGAAAGTCACTTTTCCATTTCTACCAGTAGACTTAATTGTGTAGTAAAAAACTTGGAAAGTTACCTCGCCCGACTGAATATGCTGATGACTCACTCACGTTAGTTACTTGTAGGACGCTTATATGACTGCAATAAGTCATAGGTAGTGAATATTTATCGTTCTTGAATTTTTTCTACCATACACACTTATAAATGTATATACTGTAAAATGGTATCCAAACCTCAAAAATAACGAAGCAACTCTGTAGTACTGATTTTGACTTTGACTGTGAGTTTGTACGCCATTGTTTGCATTTCTTGACAGTATACCATTTAAGTTATTATTGTGCCAAATCTCGAGGCTGTAATAAAATAATACCGGCACAGGTCCACCATATAGTCATAAGCATCTTATTTCGACTCTATTTGCAGTCGTGACATAGTTTTGCTGCGTTCCAGGGGTTTTCTCACAAGGAAAGAATAAAATATAAGCCTTATTTATCACGACAGCACAACGCTTACTAAAACCTATAAAATAGCATAAAAAAACAGAATATACAAATACTTTGGGTGCAACTTTAATTATTCTGTCGGTAACTCATGATTTGTACCTAGCAGATGTTGGAATTTTTTTTAATGTAAATAGGTTTACGACAAAATAAATGAGTAAAAGTATGGTAACAGAACATATGGTAATCATTTATACATTTAAATATATGTAGATTGAATTTTATAGAAGTAAACAATTATGAGTATGTACAATAATAATATAATAGTGTGACACAGGTATTACCATAGAATACTATAATACATATATAATAGAACGGGGGAGTGGGCGGAGCCCGTGTAGCCACTAAAATATCACTAACGTGTCAATTCACACGTATAAATGTCAACACGAAATGTGTTTTGACGTAACAATCGTTTCCAAATTTCGCATGCAAATGATTTAGAAAATACCAAATTATACACTATTTACATATAAATATGTATTAAAATTTCAACGATTTTTTAATGATGCTTTTGAACATTTATCAAAAGTCTAAAATGTGTAAATCCACTCCGTCTGTCAACACAGCGAATCGGGTTTGTAGTAGTGATAATACGACGTAATTGCTTGTATGTGTGCTCCCGGCGATGCCGAATCTCGTACAAAATAAGTTTGATAGCCATTATATTGTGTTTTATAGTATTCTATGGGTAATACTTCTCATCACAAGTGAAGTTTCCACAAAAAACTCCCACATTCATGTGCTGCTTAAACAAATTAACGTAACCGTGAGGCAGGTCTACCATTGTCCTTCAGTAAGGTTTATACAACATGGTATTCAATTTTTGAGCTTCCTAATTTTTCCAATTTCAAAATACAAAAGAACTTTACTCCTTTTTCTTATCTCTGACATAGTTTGAAATAATTCCGTATTTCCCTAACTTCCTCTGTGTCGTTTATATCGTGATAATCGAATTTAGTCTCAGGTTCATCACGGAGCTCGTTGATTTAAGGTTGAAATTGCTATAACTGTAGCGAAAGTGATTAAACTGAAAACGGGAATAACTGTAGGCATACAAAGCAGCAAACGACCTTCAAAAGCAATATAATGGCTTCAATTTGATATTAATTTGAATTTGGAATTCCAAGTCGAATGCAAGAAAACTTTAAAATCGTCAGTATTAAAACAATTTTATAGAAAAGAAAACAATAATATGATGGTTAGTTAATATACGGGTTTCAATAGTAGTATTAAACAACTATTCATTGAAGCAGTAATAGTAAAGTTTTAGATGAATATATATGTATTTATATGAGTAGAAATAACTAGGATTTGCATGTTCAGCCGGATGACTTTTAAAGTATGTTATAATAACTTATAAGGAGTGTTCATTTTAGCATGAGATTTTATAATACTAAGTATAAGTGTAATAGAACTCCAATCCACACTTAAATTATTTCAATATTATTCTGTGCATTTGACACTATAACATTGAATCATTTTTAAGAGGGTATATTTTCGCTTACATATTCATGCTAAAGTGAACAGGGTCTCGGGTAAATGATTTATTTATAGGTATATGTTTGTCTTACTAATGTATTTTACATAGACTGTGATCTAGCGTTACTTCACGAGTTTCTATTTTAAGACTACTCTTCAGCCATTAGTATCATTTTACCAAATGTTAATTAGTGACTTTTTGTATTTTATCATTAATTACTAATATTCTATGAATAAAAAGATACCATATATACTACTACTACTACTATATTATACAAATCATTACAACTGAAAATCATTTTCGTACTTTAAAATTTACTTTCGTAAACGCTATCACAATAATTTAAAAAAAATTGTTTTCGATTACAGTGCCGGACACACGTAGAAAATATTAGTTATTCATTCTTAAAATAACTCACTATTTGAAGGGTTATATTTAAATTACAAGTATTTATAAATTGTATGATTTTCTAATCGAATAAAACCAATAAATGAATAAATAACAACAGTCTATGAGGTATTCCGTCTTAGTCTTCAGAGTTGACAACGCATTTGTAGCCTTATTTTTACAGTTATAGTTGGTTTCGGGTTTCCATTGGCAGCACTTGCCACTTATTTATCATCAGATGGCAGCTCAGCTCATTTGTTTCTTCAATTTTATTTAAAAAATCTAATGGCTGATGTTGACCTTAAAGTTGGTTATTTATTTACTTTTAAAATGGAATCTTCGTCACTTGGCCTGTGAAAATAAGAATAACGTAATGTCCGTAACCTTAAGAGCGAGATTAAACGTGTTAATATTTATAATTGTGACTAATTAATTAGGATACTTGAATGAAATTATTTTTAAATTATTTTGTTATAATAATTCTTGTTTATAATTTTTGAATTATTGATACAATTTAATAAAGTATTATGATTCTAGTCGATTCGTTTTATGCAAAACCATAATAGCAGCATTATTTAAGAGGAAGAATTAATGCGCTGGTACGCCCATAACAATGTTTTATCGTCTCTTTATCTTTTTGAAATAAAGTAAATGTAATTGAGAATTTTGCTTTTCTTTTCTAGAATTAGCCACTACTTTTGAAAGATTACAATTAATAAGCACTAAAATTATCCAATATTAGTATTTTTGACTCGTAATCTTCGTCCATTTTGCTTATGAAATGTGTTATTGTGCAATATTTATAGTCTAGATATTATATTTTAGGTTAAGAATATATTCATTTCGAACATTTGTTAAAAAATCCAGTCTTACATATTTAAAACATTACTTTGATCACTTTATGTTTTGTTTAGATTGTCGGAAAAGAATCATAAACATAACAAATAATTCTAAATATTGTTCAGTGTATATTTATTTCAAGTTAAAATATTTTCTTTTATTTAAATAATAACAGTTGCTATTTTCTGTTTCAATGCATTATGTGATTATAAATATTTATTGCTGATTTATTGTTTTAATAAAAAACAAGAATAATAATTTATTATTTTGCAACCTTCCGCTAACTAATTACAATGATGTGTCTTATCTGGATTTAAGAACACCTCCCGCCCTCCCTCAATTGCATGCACTAACTCCGTCACCACTAGTCCCAGCACCACTACTCCCAACACCACTATTCCCGGTACGACTATCCAACACCATCTATTCACAATACGACACGTGTTTCGCTTCTACACGAGGCATCCTCAGGTTACGTAGACTCTACGGCGACTGACCGCTAAGTTAAAAGTTGCAAAGTAATAAATTATTTATTATAATGGATTTCCGCAAAGTAACGCCTGATTCTATCGATTATCTTAAAAAATAAGAAGTTTTAAATTATTTTTATAATTACAGACAACGTGCAAAAATGAACTTGAGACCGGCTAGAATGCGCTTTTCTGCCTGCTTTTTCTGTCTCTGACGGCACACGAGCCAGGTTTCAAAACAAGTTAATTTTTTGCACGTAGTAAGCTCAGACGACAAAATGTCATGAATGGAAAAATACAATTCGTACCGTTTAGTTTAGTGTATATATTCAATATATATATATATATATATATATATATATATATATATATATATATATATATATATATATATATAATATAAGTAGTCAAGTGTTCTTCGTATCCACAAGTTTAAAAAGAAAAAAAACATTTTTCTCTGCAATAAGTTACATAACAATTTTATTAATTCAATAATTTGTGACATGGATTTTAATGAATATTTTATTAGTAATATAATTTCTTACGATATATGTGTTTTTCTTTAAGGTTAATAAAAAAATATTAATTGTTTAAATGAGTTAAAACCTAGTCTAAGATGTCAATCGAAATAAAGATTTGCAATTCAATTAGCTAATTGTTAAAGTTAAAAAACTATTTAGGAGAATGTTTTTAGTGGTTGATAAAGTACGAATATTTTAGTTCATTTTTCATCATTTACTGCAAATATAACAATGAGAAAATTATTTATTTTATTATTTATTTGAATAACTTGAAACATTAAATTTTATTTATAATAATTTAACAAAGTCTAACGAATTTTAATAAAATATAGGCTTATCTGCAATTCGATCAGCTCTCGGCCTTCACTATCGATTTTTTTTAAACCGATATCTATGAAAATTTAACCACGTTTTCATTAGTCCATTGATCGTGGAATGAAATGATTTATAGACGACATCGTAGTTGCTCTCGAGATATACGAAACGAAACAATTATATAAACTACAAACTTACAAACATCCTTTAACAGTTGTTGGGCGCTATATATCTCTAAACATGGAGAGTTGTTAAAACGAGTATTTTAACTTTTAAATATCGGCGCTTTTACAACAACTTCCAAATTGGATATAAATAATTACCTTACTGCTCTTTGTTGTTTCCTCTTATTTTTTTTAATATTGTTATTATAAAATTTATTATTCACAGAATTTGTTTAATAAATTGTAGAAATACTTGATAAATGTGTTTCAGTAAATAAAAATATGGTCAACTTTTTA